CAATATTGTGTTCCGAATTTTAGATACATTTATAATAATGTAAATGTTTACAATTATATTTACGTACTACCTTTGCGCTTGACTTGAATGTTTGTATATTTTTTAATAAATTAAGGGCACTTTCATATTAGACGCTTAAGGAAGCTCTGCAGTGGCGTCACTGTGGTGCTACGCTGCGCCACTACTAATTTTCATACAATAATAATAATAATTAGAAGCGCAGCTGCAGAACCACACTCACAATACGCGCGCGCCTCTTTTGAAGACTAGATATTATATGGAAATTCTTAATTTTCTCTTCTTTCTACAAGCATCTCATTTGGAGGACAAGGTGTTGAACAATTATGCTAATAATTAATTTCCATTGACCGCAGAAATCTTCAGTGATAATAAAACATAGCATTCAGTTACCTAATTAGTGATACGTAAACACCCCGGAATAAATTAACATTCGTAATAATAATCATAATAACGCATGGGCATTATTATGATAATGATATTACGAGTGCCCACACGAGAGTCCACACTCATAGCCCCGCAATTGGAAAACCCTATGGTACACGCACATAGACAACCACAAAATGCACCCAAATTCACGAGAGGAAAACCTGGGAATCGAACCCGGGATCTCTGCGTGGCCATGGATGCAGTGCAGATAAAATTACTGGACGGACAAAGCAGATACATTGAAACCAAACCTGAATTATTTGTTAGTTCTAAATAGAATAATATTCTAAGTAAGTGGTAGGTCTCTTTAGTAACAGTAGAACTCCTTGTAAAAAAAAGTTCGTCCAGAGTAGTACTGCCACCTTACCTATTTCTGCTACTAAACAATAATGTCAGCACTTACTGTGTTCCGATTTTCCGGTGCTGGTGAATTACAGGCATATGGGACTTGTTAACTTATGTCTCAGGGCGGGAGCAGTGGCAGTGGCCCTCAGATCTATGCAATTTAAAGCTCTGAGTGGCACTGTCTACCATGGACAGGCGTGTAGCTTACCATCAGGCACACGATTTGTTGGTCCCGTCACTTGATGTTATAAAAAAGAGTCTAAAGGTATTTTAAGTTTAAAGGAAGGTTTGTATACAGGTAAAGAATAGGTAAAAGTACTATTATACACACTTTACAACATATAATATATTACTTAATAGAAGTTCATAATTTATTTGTACTTACTAGTAGATACAACTGTAAAAACCTATACATTCGTAAGTACGTACGAAATTGCTTAACAACAGAGAAAAATAGGTCTCCTTTGTTTACAATTTATAAGTATTGTTCTGGTCCTAGGATCCGTTAAAATAGCTTAGTTTTATGTTCCGTTTATACATCGCCCAGTTTTATGGCTGTAGTAATGTTTATAAGCGCTGCTGCACGGAATAATATCGTTGATAAAAAGTGGACTACAATGTAGTTGACAACGTGTTAAAAATTATCTACAGAAGACCAAAGAAAAGTTAATTAATTGTATTTCTCTGCTCTTGATTTCTTAAATCTACGCTTTTTGAAATCATTTAAATTTGACAATTCAAAAACATCGTTTTAAAAGCTGTGATTATAGTTAACCATAATCTTGTGTACAAAAAACGTTGTGTATAGAAAAGTTAAGAACACATAAATACTTCGTCAGTTCTGTGATTTTACACTGCTTTTATTTTACACGTACAAGTTATACCTAATACGATTAGCGTCATGTTACGATAGATACCATTTCCATTTAACATTACAAATTGTTCTACGTGTTCTGTGTGTCCATAGGTAACGATATTATTTATTTATTTATATCTGGGAAATTAACAGTTAAAATGACATCGATGTACAAATAAACAAAATATCTAGGTACAGCAGAGGTCCTTTACTAGTTTCCTCGACTACTCCAAATGTGCTAAACAGTATATAACAGCAATTATGATCATTTTAAGGAAGGACAATTGAATTGTTGTAAATTACGCTAACTTACATTTTGTAAAAGCGACAACGATTAATAAATAGCGTTGTGAATTATTTTATCATGTTAATAACTATTTAATGGTATTATTATTTTCTTTAGTTTTAATCCTTTTTTAAATTTCTAAGTAGAAAAATCGAAGAAATTTGAACTAAGTTTTTTCCGAAATCATACAAAATTGGCACACGGAAGTTTTTGTCCTGCATTAAGAATTGTAAAACACGTTACATACCCACTAAGCTTCACTATAAATGTTCGATCTGAAGGCTTTGTGTTTGTCTGATGGCTTAAAACACAGTTGTGCAGGAGTACAATAAAAGATTGATGTGTAATGTAATTAGATTGGCTTTGTTCTGTTTTATATCATTTCAATGTACTCTAGAAATTATCAGCTGTTTAAGAACAGAAGTAAGGGCTACTGAGACAGTACCGAAGGAAACATTTGCCAATTCAATATTTGTGAAACTTGATGTTTTCGAAGTCTTTCTCAGCGCGATACTACTATTACAATTACTCTTACAGTACCTAATCTAGGTACGCTAAACCTTACTACCTTTACTGATATCGTAGTTCAGTGAACCACAAGTAGGTCCTTCTAAATCAGATTTACTAAAGTAAAAGTAAACGCCGTGTGATTGAGGGAGGTGGGTTATTTTTAGCCCCTGTCTGAACACTTCGTTAAGCCCGGTCCCGAGAGCAATTCCAACGAGACATTGTAATTCAACACTCGTGTAAGTATATAGAAAAATATGTTCAGAAAATGAGTAGAAACCTAGGTTTGATACTATTGTGGGTATTGACGAAAATTTTCAATCATTGTTACCTTGTAATTAATTAATATTATCGGATATTTATATCTGTACGTGTCTCGGTAGTATAAAAGTGTGTACTTACTTTGTACAGGGTCAAGTGCACGTCAAGCTTGACACTTGTAGCTTGGTTACACTGGGTCGACTGCTGCCTTAGGCAGACTACTTCACCTTGTCGTTGCAAACGCAGTCGACTAGTTGTTAACACCGACTCGATTGCCTCCTTCGCTGAAATCACCAAATCTAATCAATTCGGTTGGCAGCGGACCACAGTCGTCAAACGAGTCAGTGTTTAAGCTGGGTGATGCCTTCAGCGGGCAACCGAAGGCAACCTGTCGACCTAATGTTTTTTTTTAATAAGTAATAGACACACGCTTGGCCACAATCTTACCTGATGTTAAGCGACGATGTGCTTGACGATGGTACGCATCAAAGCGCTTAGTTCGACTGGGTGGTAGGTACACCAACGACATAAGGATGGTGTGTTCGGACCTTCTAGTTGACCGAAGGAAGAACGGTGAGGGTGGCACTAAATTGAAAAGTTCCTGCGCACACTCCCCGAAATGTATGCGATAGAAAACCGACAACCAGGCTACTTTTCTGCGATGGTCGAGATTTTGTAGCTTCGACTCCACAAAAATGTAAACGCGCCATTAAAATTTAAAGTCAACACTATGCGCTTGCGTTTCAATCTTGATGTGCTCTCGACTGTACCTATTTTGTGTGTTCATTTTCCTACTATGCTTGCTATAATACACTTTCTAATTTCTTTGTTACAAGTTAGCCGTAATAATATAGTTGTATAATAGTGTAGTGTCACTGGTGTCACATCAATGCTTGGGTGGTATGACGGTGAAATAATGAGGAAGTATAACAGTCTCATATACAGGGTGTAAATTTGAGACGGGGCAGCAAGGCCAGCTACCTTAATCGTTGTAGTTACAGGGAAACGGTTTCTGACATTTCGAGTACTCTTACCTCAGTTGGTCCCATAGAGACTATTGATCCTTATCAGAGACTAGATCGAATGGCATATAAAAAAGTTTTGTATAAATTAGCTTTTATCACGCTGACTGTACCATTTATTGAAAATCTGTGAATGCCAATCAAAATATCTTTAAAATTCATGGATAGTCTTCTAGAACCGTTTTCCTGTAACTACAACGATTAAGGTAGGTGGCCCTGCTGCCCCGTCTCAAATTTACACCCTGATGTATAGACAAGACCCTCGCCTGAGACGATACCCGTGCCCAGCAGTGGAATATATGATGATTGTGATATACAAGATGGTTGAAAACAATTTTCAGTCATGGAGCGATAATAAATAACGCACACACTCAACGTAGCCCCGCACTAGGGAAACCCTGTGTCGCGGGTGCCATGGGCACACATATAGACAACCAAAAACTACAGAATAGCTGTTACGTTACATTTGTTAGAAGTACGATCTCTATCAGATACAAAATCGTTGAGACATTTACCTACTTCTTAAGTAATATAGGTACTTACGTAGACTAAACTTCATTAATCAACCAACCATGAATATGCGGTTTGAGACACGCGGTACATAGAGATCATTCCAAACAAAACAGGTTGCCGCGCGCTGCGATGTAGGGAAGAACAATAGATTAAAATACCGTACCAATTATCGTATTGTTTAGGTTTTGCGATTTTTTTATAGCAAAACAGTGCGCATGTGTCTGTACTTTCTGTCATCATCGCTTAAATGTCCCTCTGTAGGACTCTTCTGAAGAGGTTTGAGCCGTAGTTCATTACGCTGTCCCAAAACGGCACGTGGTCAGTGTTTTACCATTAGAAAAATAGACCTTAAAAGCGCTTACGCATGAACAAAACGTGAGTTTCAAAATGGCCACCATAAACACAACAATTTCCCGCGAAAAAATGTCAGAAAAATAAATTTTATCAATGTATATTTTATGTAAATTTTAATGCTCTGAAACGCAGTGAGAAATGCGCCGCGATACTCCGAGATCGTTCTCAGAGCATTGTAATTTATACCTTATTTCAATTAAACCAGCATAAAATAAACATTGATAAATTTAATGTTCGCTGCCTTCCCGTTCACCGGTTTGCGCTGGTCCTTAGGCTGTCCCGAAGGACGAAAAATTTTACTACCACCTAGGTAAGACCATCATGAAGTTCCATTTCTCGCAGCAATTGACGTAGAAAATGTGACGAGTGAAAGTGAAAATCAAAACACAAGAGTATTTTTTTTTCAATACTCTTTAATAAGTTTACACATTCATCTTCAGTTAACTTACAATTTTGGTTTGATATAAATATAGGTAGGTAACCTAATTCGTTCACTGGAATGATAATTAAACCATACGGTATGTGCGTTTTCTTCCATACAGTTGTATGGATAATACTATGTATAATATAATATCTACTTAATCTGGCACTTGTAAATAATAAATACCTGACAATGTAAGCTATAATTATTTTTACACTACCCCATTAGCTTGTTACAATCTTGGACATTGCTTAGTTTTTTATTATGTATATACTTTACATAAGTATTTTTGGTGTGTTGTATAAAAAAAATTATAAATTATGGCATTCAATAAAAATGCTTTTTTTTTATTAATCAAATTGATTTCCCTCAACTGAGATGGATTAAAAACTTATATGAACTAGAGGGGGTTAGAATAATTATCTAATCCATTCCACATTATGATTGTGACACATAAAAACAATGACGATGAAATAATTAATTATACAAAATCAGGCAGGGTAAGAGGAACATAGTTTATTTTGAGTCAAATGTTTTGAAGTCATAAAAGAATTTTGAAGTACACTAAACTTACCTTTGTTTATCAGTTTTACGCGTTTCAACAATCATTACGCTAAATTCAATACTTACGGTATATTTGCCGAAAACGTGCAAATTGTCTTCCCCCTAAAGATGGGGTAAGAGAAACAATTGTCGTATTTCTTACAAAGTAAATGTATAATCGGGTTTTCGATTTCCTAACTGTCAAATTTGTATTTTCCGCACTTTGGATTTGGAACATCGTAGCGACATCTCTTTAAAATCCTTTAAACTAATTTCTTAGTCTGTTTTATCCACTGAGAAACTACAGGGCTATAAACTCTTTATATTGTGAGTAACTTTATATTATAAAAATTAAAGAATTATAATAAAAATTATAACTCTATAAATATAGCTCCAAGTCCCTCTTCCCCTGGTGTTCCTCTTACCCCAACTGATCCTAAGTTAAAAGCCATGTTTTATTATATAATATAATTCGGCTGTTTCAAATTCCTGTTATATATTTGATTTATTTTGTAAACATTGTACGTAGGTATGTTATGTCCAAATACTTGTATATTAAAATTTAAGTCATATGTTTTTTAAATAAAATATATTTCTTTTGAGTTCTTATGTTTTTATGTCATCATTTAGCAATCTTCTCGTTGCTAAGACTGCACATATCGGAATAATCGCAGTTGTATATTGAATCGTAGAAGTATTCTAATAAAGTCTTCAACGGGCAGAGCTCCTCTTTGCACATGGGTAGTTTAATTACTTGCTCTTGATGGAGGGCCAAAACGTGGTCGCCTTCTTTACATCTACAAAATAACGTTACTTATAAAAAACAAATTAAAATCAGTTATCACTATTAAACCAGTTACCACTACAGAACTTTTTATCTCTAACTCTTCCACAGTCTAAGAGATATTTTTTTTAAATGTAAATGCAATCAACGAAATTCACTCCGAAACTTTACTCAGAACACCGTGGTTAGAAAAACATTTTAGAAAAGTTAATACCCTACATATTTCCCACCGGGAATCGAACCCGAGACCTAGAACAACGGAATTACTGCATGGTACTACGTAGAACACCCAGACCAAAACCACCTACGAAAGTTTCATTTTCAAATTGGTCGTATAATTTTCAGATTGCAAACCGTTGGGGTCATTTGTATTATTCACTTACTTTACTTACTATATACCTTATTTACATACCAAATCTACAAATTGCTTAAACACTACAGTCACTCATTACATAAAGCAGATTACCCTGAAAAGAAATATTCACTTTATAAACTAGAAAAGAAGTTCCACATTGCATTGCTATTTCCGGAGCCTGAAGTCGCCGTCTTGGTCAGCCACTGTATGCCTTTCAAAGAAATATAATACCTTATTGTTGAGAAGCTAAATCACGCTTTGCATTGACGTGGCGGCACAAGCTGCCGACGACAGGATGCACTGCAGTGCTGCACCGCGTGTCGCAGCGCGTCTTTACTCTTTTGTTAGATGAAATGTATACTATATTGTGTAGAGAATATTTTCTAGTACATTATATTGCATCTTGCAAGGAGCGCGCTGCGCAGCTCGGCGCCGCTTTATCTTGTAATAGATAAAGTTTATGATGCATTGCTCGTTTTAATGAATCGCAGCGTCTCGTATCAATTGACTACAGCAATTTGAGGCGACCCTTAAGCCGATAGAAGAAGCCACTTGCAAGTTATAAATCTTGTGACCATTTATTTGGTGAACTTCTGAGAAAGTCGTCTTGGTACTAGTTCTTTGTATATCTTTGTTTCTGTCCCTTAATGATATCATCATGTCATTCCTTAATAGTTTCAAATGTCACTTACTCAAACAACACAAAAGCCAAATTAGAAGCAAAGCAGTCTATATGTGAAGTCTTCCAATGTCGATCCTTTAGTAATGTGTTCCCCCTTAACGGTTGATCTGGTTTGTAGAGTTGGAGATGAGCGAGGATCTTCAACAGTGTTCCGGAATGTGCAAAAAGGAATGTTGCGTTGGGGCCTTGGTTGCTACTGAAATGGGAAATTAAGACTGTTTCTTGGAAGTGGTAGGCACATAATTCATCATCTAACAAAACATTGACATACCATGTGGCAGAGTGCTTTACTACACAGCAGCCAAACATACATTTGTACCAAAGTACTGGTTTTGAAATTCGTAAGAAAACAATCTAACATTCGTTTTCAGAATGTTATAGTATTAAATGGATACCTGTAATGAGCGTAATTATGTAATAAACATCACTTTACCAAGAAATGAGGGACCAAAACCTAGTGGCTAACTAAGAGTGCTACATCGTACTAGTCTCACTTCACAAAGGTACTTGTAGTTTTAAAATAGATTGAAGTTGGACACATTTATAAAATAAAAATTCAACTGTACGTCATTTATGGTATCTACAATCCCAAATGTAAAGCCGAATATCTGTACTCAGTGTATGATAAGAAGTGTGCCTGTCACAAGTTAGTAAGCAACCCTAGTACTGATTAATGGTGTGACCTGAGCAGTGCCAAGTTCTACAAAATCGTTATAAAACAAACTGACCTGAAATTTTCAAACATGTTTTTTATGGCTAAACAAGCTTGTCGATAGGTCAGGTCATGTCCATAACCATCCATCCAGTAATGTTTTAAGTCGTGGTAGTATTCCATTTTCTGAAACATAATTCAAATATTTCTGTTATGAAATCACAAGTTTCTTCTTTCAACTTTAGAAACGAATCTCTATGTTTACCCATCATAGAGATTCACTTTACGGTATAGGTATGTGTAAGGTACTGTGTGAGTGACACCTCAAGATCTTAGAGGATGGAAAAAAATAAAGGAAAGGAGCTGTCCTATTTACGAAATAAACGTTAGGCTTGTATAGTTCATGAACTACGAACTATTAGGAATATATTCCTTACACTGACCGACATGAACTAGTTCGTCTTGCACGGTTTTAATAGTTCATCGTTCTTTTTAGTTCAGTACGAACTAGGAACTGTCTGCGTTGATAGTTCACCTGTCTTTTATACAGTAGGAACGGTGCGAGCGGGACAAATAGCAATCTTTTCTACTTTTAGTACAAGTTCGAGTGGGAAGCACGATTGGACGTTCCCAGCTCGTTATAAGTATCTAATACGTATCTACCATTATGTATATAAATACAAGCTTGCAAAAAAGTAATATTTTTTCAACCTACGTGTACGAGTATATGAAATAGTTGTACCTAAATACTGATTTATAAACACACCATTCCAAAATTCTTATTTTGTAAAAAATGGATATTTAGTTAGAATGACAGTCTAACCCGTAAAATATGAAGGAAAATCAAATAGTACCAACCAAATAGCACTTTTAAATGTTTAGTACAGTGTAGTATTGACTTTATAATACTAGAAGTCCGTAGTAGTTCATGTGAATAAAATTACTAGCTTGGAGCGTTCGTTCAATGTCCCAGCAAGGACAAGACGAACTAACTAACTAAGGAAGTAGACGAACTAAATGGACTAGAAGATCGATCTAGCTCAGTTGACCGATTGAACTAACCAGGATCGCTCCCGCTAAGGACCGATCAGGCACAAGTCTAATAAACGTCCCTACCTAAACCAAAAATATCCTCCACAAATGGCGGATTTCTTTAGTGTTGTACCATAATCATCGATAAGTCAACAATATCTACATGCAAATGTATGACTAGAATGTTGAAACTGTTTTTTTATGTTTGCAATTTGTAAAGAATGATAAAAATGTTTAATTAAAGTAGATGAATATTCATTGTGATATGGGAATATCCGGGATGATTGATATGAGATTTTGAACTTTCCATAGTCTAAGCCTCAAGATACATAATCTGCCCAAATTCTTTGTTGACAATTATACCATTTAGAAAGCATTTGAATGTGCCATTTAAAAAAGTTATTGATCCTTTGTTTTTACATGTGGCCGAGTGTATTATCATAGTATAATAAGACCAAGTAGGACAACTCCCGCCTATGGCGCGTTAACCGCTCGGAGCGTAGGGTTTTTACTTTACATTAATTTTTTTTAGTTGTACCTACAGGTTGTAGAGGTAATGTGAATAAATTAATTCATCACAGTATTCTCAAGATTTATTGAAATAGCCTTTGTTAAACGCAGTAGTTACTTAAGTATTGATATTTATATACTAGCACCGCGGATTGGTATCTTGATTATGGAGTCTGATTATGAAGTAGAAATAAAATGCCAAACAATTCTGAATTTGAGGCGCTCTTGTTCAAACTACCACAAACACTACAACAAACACATCCACTATTTCAAGTCATTTTTTAAATACCGAACGACTGCTTCAACTCTATAATTAATGTCTGACTAACTGTCTCCGTGGCCGAACGGTTACCATGCCGGACTGCCACGCAGAGGTCCCAGGTTCGATTCCCGGGCCGGGAGAAATAGTTGTATGGCCTACAATTATTTCTCTCGTGAGTTTGGGTGTAATTTGTGGTTGTCTATATGTGTGTCCATGGCACCCGCGACACAGGGTTTCCCTAGTGCGGGGCTATGTTGAGTGTGTGCGTTATTTATTTATAAAAAAAAAAAAAAAAAATGGCACGTGGCACAACCCACGCCATGCAACACAAATGCACTACGAGATTATGCGAATGTGTGCGTCCGTACACGGCGCCCGGTGGGCGTGCACACACAGAAGCCCCGCTGCTACGTTTGTATGGAGTTACCATATTTGTCTTATTATACTGTGGTATTAGGGACATGCATTTGAGTTTTATACCAACCTCAGCACTTTCTTGATTGAAAGCATAGCACCACGGAGACATGTGATATTTACTCCATGATGTTTCAAAACCACATATTTTGTACATGAGGTTCACTGTATCTGTAAAACATTGAATCTATAATATATTTCCAGCGTTATATTTTGTGGTGCAAGGTATTGTGGTAAATGTAAATTGTGTTTACATGAGGTGGTTTTACAGGAGTTTATGAACATATAATGTAGCAAGTGTATCATCTCTACCGGAGTCATTAAATGTGAGCAGGAACAGTGCTATTTCAGAAGCCATTTATGTTCGAAACTAAAGAGAGCATGATGCACAAGGAAACATGATTGCAAATAGCAAAGCAAGCTGTAAGTGCAGTCTTTAAATTTACTATATTACAAACCCAAACTAAGAACATGACTGAGGCCGAGTCTTTTCGATATAGCAGCCAGAGTTTTATTCATTTGTTGACTATGACCAAATATGTATTGTTCCTTATACGTAATCGGATTTTTCTTAACTTGCTTTTGCCATCTGTCACAGTGTTTGTAAAACTGAAAAATTGCAAATCAGTGTAGAAAAAGCTGAGAATTACTTTACAAAAAGTTATAAAAGATAGAAAAGGAACTCTTATTTCAATTAGCATTGTAGCAGCACGCCATTCTTGTAAGTTTGTCGATAGCAATAACAATAAGATCTACACTCACAACTCCAAGTACTCACTAAACTTAGATTTTCAATATTCCAACATACATACTCTTAATATGGGGTCGATTTTCGTTGTAGGTGCAAAAATAACACCTTGAGCATCTTTCCTATCAAACAGTCCAATTGTAAAATATCGTGCACTCTGCTGGGCTCTCTCGGTTGCTGTGTATTTAAACTGAAAAGAAAGAACATTTTCTTAATTGATTCGACTTAAAAAATTAGTAAATACAGTTTTTCATCTATTTGTACTTACAAGAAATGTCTGATTATCATAATTATGTTTGACAGCATTTGGGAATCTCTTGTGCATGCGTTCTGCCAGCAGAATCATTTCATCCTGCCCCTCTCTAGTCAAATACTTTTCTTTGTCTGGGTCCAGATCGCTGGACCATAGCTGTAGCTGTTGCAACTGCTCCTTAGAAAGATCACCTGAAATTTTTGAGAAAATGATGAGAACAGGTTTATATTTTTATTGAATATTGTGATTGATGATTTTACACCTATAAAATTCACCAACAAAAAAATCCTACTTTGGTCTGTTTGATCTTTGTACCTATGATAATAACAAACTACAAAAAATAGATGAATATATGAATACTATCATAGTAGTATAAATATCATCCTATTATTAAAAATAAAGTTTTGCAATTAATGTTGCAATATCTCTATTAATCTTCTTGTAGCTGTAAAGGTGCCTTTTCAAACCCAATACAAAGATCTGCAACAAGCACATAGAGAAATTCGTAAGATCAGCTGGCTCAATACACAGTTCAGTTGGCAGAATGGTAGCCTTTAGCCACGTTGAGATGACAGACACTGGTTTGAGTCCAGTCAAAAAAAGGATTTTTTCTTCGTAATTGTACAACCTTTGTATCAATTACTATTAGAGCAGGTGTTTTAAAAAAAATCTTAAAATTTTGAAAGTCCCTAAACAATTTTCTTTGATTGATTTACCATTTTTTGTTTATGATTAATTTTATTTATATAGCCATTAATGTATACTTATACTATTGATATATTTATTTCCTGTACCTTTTCCTTGTTGGTGAGCCAATAGAATCTCAAATTTTAAATCCTTAAGGGTAGTGTTCATGCCAACAATGTCTTTAGCACTGGGCAGTCGTGTTCCATGGCGGGCTATCATCCAAATTTTTGAATCGTTGCATTCTAAAATTAAAATACTTATATAGAAATAAAATAAATTTAAATATGCAGTTAAAAATTGGGTGTAGCTGTGTCAATGTAACATGCAATGTTTTTGTAGCCAAACTCTTTTGTTATGTTACAGTCCAATTTTTAATCATGGTAGGTAAACTATTTTTTTTATCTAAGAACTCGATACATTTTTTGACAGGATGAACAAGTTGTGCGCCTGGTAGTAACCAACACGCTTATTCATAACAGTTGCAGTGCCACTCAGAGCTTTAAATCGCAAAGATCAAAGAAGAAAAAGACGCACTGCCACTGCATCCGTGACCCTGAGACAAAAGTTGATAAGTCCCATGTGCCAGTAATTTCACCGGCATCCTTACCCTTCCAAACTGAAACATAGTAATGCTCACATTACTGCTTGGCGGCAGAAATAGGTAAGGTGGCAGTAATTCCCTGGACAAACTCTTTCACAAGTAGCTCTACTGCTACTAAACAAACAAAATGCGTCATATATCTAAAAACATTTTATATCAAGAAGAATGTGTTTAGTATTTAAAAATATGTTGAAGTATTCATTTTAATTGGAAATTTGTCGATTATTTTTAGTATTAATCTAGGTTTAAGATATTTCTATATTTTTTAATAATGAATTGTATTTTCTAATAACAAAGTATACTGTAATATTTGAAACGTTTCGTATCAGCAATAAAGGCTATTATTATTATTTAAAAATACACATAAGACTTTTTTTACACTATTGCACCTGTTGCATCTATGTGATGCCATGATATTACATTGAGCACTTACTTGCAAGGGCACTGAGCACCTATAAGAACAGTGCAACCTTTAATACACAATCTATTGTGTTAGAACAAATTATGTCAATCTTCTTAAATTGGACATAGTTATGCAAACCCACACCTCCAGTGAAATCGAGTTATGTATGTAGGTAAAACACTAGACATGTCCTTTACCCGCTCACAAAAGATCCTGGCAATATACCAAGCCAAAACGGAGAACTGAAGATCTTTAGCGTTTTCATTACGAAAACTAGAACATGGTTCTCGTTTACTAAATAAAAAGATACATGATGTTTTCTATTTATTGCTATATAATATAAAAGTTTCTATAATAGTTCCCTATATCATTCTCAATGCTACACATAAATCACGTTGTTTGTCCCAAATAACTTACCTATTTATTTCTTCACACTGTTTTTACGAAAATCTAATCATATCGAAAGTGACATTTTGTAGGTTGGTTCTAGTTTGCATAACTATGTCTAATTTTTAAAGTGTATCTTAATCAAAAGGTTATGACACATTTAAGAAGGAAACCCGTTATTAGTGAAAACAAATTGTAAAAACCAATAGGAACTTACGTGGATATTTTATTTTAGAATCGTTCTTGTTATACCTAAATCTATAAGGCGTACGAGTACCTAAATAATTGCGAACATCATGCGATTTTAAACTGACTACACCACTGGAAAACTCAAATAACAAAACAAATAAAACACTGGTTGCGATTACATTCATGTTTGCTCAGCTTTTACTCAATGCATTTCCTGTGAAAATAACCAATAACTCGATTTTTTATTTACTCCAATTGTTTATTTACATTTTCCGACCACTTTGTTTCAATAAATTATCAATTGTTTATTTAGTAGGCAAAGGTTTCACCAAACAGCCTCTTCATAAAAATTATATTCTTCCTTACAATAATACCATTATTAGATAGAGATAGATATACACATAAACCGTTTTCTCCGTCTATGCCTAGCCTACATATTTATCTTTTTCCATCCTGGGAAAAGGCGGCAAGCGCCATCATTTCAAAATTTTTTTATGCATTTGTAACTTTGGTTTCCCCTCAAAACGCATAAATCTTTCGCCTTTTAAGCAACCAACAAAGAGTAGAGTAATACAGGCAACCAACCAACAATAATATTCGAAGAGGCGCTGCATGCGCAGATAATAAACGTTTTTCAATGTCTGTTAACAATGCTAGAGTTTGTCGAACAATAATTTTGACTAAAACGCCTATTTATTTTATTGAATATCATCATGTTTATCATTATTAGTATCATGTTTTTATTTCATTACAATTTTTTTGTGAAAATACTCCACTATTTTGTAATTATTATTCATACAAAAATCAAACAACATAAAAAAATCCTTCCATGTGATAGGACTCGAACCAGTATCGTTGCCACACCGTCAACTAATGCTGGTTGATAAAGCTGGGATGCTGGCAACTGAGCAATGGCTATATGGCCTTAGAGGGTGGGGAAAATATAAAATGTACGCGGTTGCCATATTTTATTAGACTATTTTTTTGTAGTGGTAGTGTAGTAGTACACATTAAGCGCGCATAACGCGAAAGCTTTGCGGTTGCACGCTCCATGGTGATCATGGAGCGTGCAACCGTTCCGAAATATCGAGAAAATAAATAGAAGTCATAACGTGGTAAGAAACCTGATATTAGTGATAATTATAATAATAACAATAATAATAACGCACACACTCAACATAGCCCCGCACTAGGGAAACCCTGTGTCGCGGGTGCCATGGACACACACATAGACAACCACAAATTACACCCAAACTCACGAGAGAAATAAATGTAGGCCATGCAAATACTTCTCATGGCCTACATTTATTTCTCTCGTTTACTTAATTATTTACTACTTAATTTTTTTTTATCTTTTTTTATGTAAAGAAGGATGCAACCGAGCCGACGACCCACTTGATGGGAGGTGGTCATCGTCGCCCATGGACATTTGCAACAACAGATGAGCTATGCGTTGCCAGCCTTTCAGACCCCCAACCCCATGTCATAGCGCAAAGGGAACACTTCAGGAGGAAGATCATTCCACATCTTGCAGGTTCGAGGAAGGAACGAACAAGATGCCCATGTGGTCTTACAATGCCAGGCATCTAAGATGTAGGGATGGCTTCTATTCCTTTGACGGGAGGTGCGTTGGTAGAAACGAGACGGTGGCACCAGTTCGAAAAGTTCCTCAGAGCACTCCCCATTATAAAGACGGTAGAACACATACAGAGAGCCAACTAAAAATACAGTCTCTCCGTAAGCTAAGGGGCTCCATACCGTCTGTGAGTTTGGGATCATCGATAATACGAACAGCCCTACGTTGGATAGAGTCAAGCGGATTAAGCCGGTATTTGGGAGCTCCTGCCCAGAAATGCGAGCAATACTCCATATGAGGCCGTACTTGTGTTTTATATGTATAATAAAAGTCGGTGACCTGGAGAGAAGTACTGCTTCGCTCTATTGAGCACTCCGTGCTTTTTTGAAGCCAGTGTGGGTTTGCTCTCCAAATGACTCCGGAACTGGACTTCCCTCGTGATGTCGAACTTTGGTGCTATTACGAATGGGGATTTTTTTAGCGGTAAACGCGCACACTTGTGTCTTTGCGGGGTTAAATTTTACTAAATTCTGTTGGCTCCATTCTGAGCTCTGCTCCAAAGAAGTCTCGATTTTGGACACAAGTTGCTGTCTGTTTTGTTCCACTTGTTGGTGCGATATTTGTGCGACCTGTATAATATCCTCAATAAATAAAATAACAAAAACAAAAAAATATAATAACATCACCGGTACTGTCATCCGCATAGCAATGAATGTTACTAGTTAATAACATATCATTGATATGCAGGATGAACAGAGTTGGTGATAGCACAAATCCTTGCGGAACGCCGGCGCGCGGCGTTGATAAGCATGGTGTCCGAGCACAATCCGTCGACATCGACTTTTATGCTCCCCTCAGACAGGAAGCCTATTTCTACCTAAACTTACTTTTTTCACTATTTTAGGAAACTTCTATAGAAAGTCATTTAAAAAAAAATACGCTTTTACAAAAGGTATCTTTGACAGTTTATCTCCTCCGTGTAATTGCTAACAATAGTTTTGCAGGCGCTTAGAATAGGTATAGATATGGAGAATAGCGTTATATTTTTATCGCCGTGACCGTCGTTCCGGTTCCAATAAAATCACAGTGATAAATCATCGTGATTTTGTCACGACTGTTACTTCCGTGACCTTGTCACGCCTATAACTTACATCACGATATACGGTTTTAGCCAGTTGCTTCTTTCTAATACTTATAGCCGTTTTTTATACAATGATTTAAGTTTTTACTCCCTTTGTAATAAGTTTACATTCCATTCAAAAAGTTGATTTTGTATTTAATGTAATTTTGTTTGTTACTTATTTAATGCGAATCTTTAGATTGTTAAAAATAGCAAGAAAGTGTAATGTAATTATATTTCTAGTAGAATACACAAAGTAGATTATACATAAATATAAAATACCAACTCTTCCTATAATAAAACAAATATACAAAAATATTTTACTTTGTTCATAAATAGGTTTATAATAACTGCTGCAGATTTTTTTCATCCGCCCTTTCTAGTAGTAATAAGCACCTACGACCCTTGTGAGTGAGCAAAGAAAGTCATCCTATTTCATTCACTCCCATCGCCGAAATGGCCCGATTTGAAGAGAGCTACAATGAGTGGCGCGCTCAGTCACCACGGAACGGAGATCGCGCATTGTATCAAATACGTATGTCGTGATGTGAGTGACGGGGACAGCTATTGGAACGGAGGAACACCTATGTGACTTTGGAACGTCGTTCCTTGGGAACGAGTCACGGTGATACTATTTGACGGCGGATCATCGTGACTTTATTTATCACCCACCTCTTAGAATATGCCAACAATGGTTTCTGGACTATCTTTGCAAGCAATATTTTTAACCATTATTATATTAATTACTTGTTGAATTCACTATTACAAATGTTAATTCCATTTGTAGGTATTAAGGAATGCGAACGAATTACAATCTTGAATTTTATAAAGCAATTAGCGAATCCCGCGCGGTTGTACTGTTCAGAGAAATTTAAATATTGTTGCCATTGACTATTTGTAAGTCAATGATTGTTGCCTAGTAAATAGAATTCAGATTCGCCATTAAAGTATGTGAAAGCGTACATGTACGCTAATACATAGATATGATGTATGATTGACTTTTTTTTTAAATAATTTTTAGGTGCTATTAAAGAAAAAATATATAAAGAAAAAAATTACGAAAATATTAGATTTTCGTAACTTACGTTTACATTTTGGAAAAGCAACAAAGCTTAATAAATAGCGTTTTAAATACTTGTCAATACCATGTTAATAACTATTTTTTAACATCCTTGCTCGTAAAGCTGATGTAATTCCACCGGTTTTAAATATGTAAAGCGGGTCATAAAAAACGCGTGTGTTACCAAAGCAAATAGTTAAGTTATAGTCCATACAAATTCCATAACAGTATTATTTGCCATTTCAAATATGGAACCTGATCGCCGCCGCACGACTCCAGCTAGTGAGCAGCGCGCTGTTGCTATTCAAATTTCGAACAAATCGCCGCGCGGCGCCAGTCAGTAGGCAGCGCTAGCGCGCTGTTAAAATGGCGGGAAAGCAACAGTGTGCATTCACAGATTGAGTTTATTTTTAAAAAAAAACTGTTTATTTGGTAATTTAAAAACTTGGCTGCATGCTCTAGAGTCTTTGCCAACATTTTCACGCAGCCACGGTAGAAAATAATCCTCGCGCCATTTTTCTCAAATTTTCTTTTCTTTGTACTTGTATTGTGAATATCTAAAAATGACAACTTTCAATAATGAAGAATGAATGAAGATGAGCAATATATTACTTCAATTCCATCGGATATACTAACAGAAGCGCGAACCGCATGCGACAGCTTGCTGCCGTCAATATCCAAGGATAGATACATAACCACGTATGAAAATTTCTTGAAGTGGAAAAACATGAAAAATGCCAAGTCATTTTCCGAAAATGTTGTTTTGGCGTATTTTAATGAACTAGCTAGTAAATATAAGCCTAGCTCGTTGTGGACAACATATTCTATGCTGAAAAGTACCCTCAAGATGAAAAATGGTGTCGATATTAATTTTCACTAACTATTTCAATAATTAAATATGAACAAAATATAAAATGTTTTTTTTCTGTTTCCTCGCAAATGTGTTAAAAAACGTCGTACGATATACGTGCGTATTGGTTATAACATGCTCGGCTCAATTAAGCCCTCGCCTTCGCCTCGGGCTAAAACTCCGCCTCGCATGTTATAACCATCTTTACGCACTAATATCGTAATGTACTATAACAGTATTATTATTTTTTTGAGTTTTAATATTTTTTGAAATTTCTAAGTATAAAAATGGAAAACGTGCAAATAAATTTTCACCAAAACCATACAAAATTTCCATAGTAATTTTTGTCCTGCATTTGGAGCATTGAAAACACGTTACATACTAAGCTTCACTAGAAATGTCCGATCTGAAGGCATTTTGAAACAGTGTTGCGCTTTAAAATAACAGTCATTATTAGTTACAATAAAATACTTAAGTTATAAGTAGTAAAATCTTTATTAAATTATCTCATGGGACATAAATATTACCTACTCAACCTGTAACAATATCTTTGATTGTTGTAATGTACCTTTTAGCGTAAAAGGTTTAGCCAAATTTTCAACATTAAAAGTCTCAAATGCTAATTGTTCGCCATCTGGGCCATCATGCAATGAAAAGTTAATATCCTTGAGATCCATGCTTGCTTCAATACTACAGGTATTTTGAGTAAAGGGAGGTGTACCTTCTTTGAACATTTGCACAGTTTGGTCTAAGTATTTAACATAAATATTTTTTGCTAGGAATTCTACTTCAGTGTTCAAATCCTGCAAAGAAAATTCTGGGATGTCAAGCAGCAGTCCAGCTTCCCGAGCACAGCCAATAGATATAACTTCATCAGGGTTAATACCAGAAAGCACTTCAACATCAGGTAGTAAATTGGCAATAGCAGACTGTAGCTTTGGGATCTTCATGCTTCCTCCACAGAGGACAATTTTGTGGATTTTTTCTTCAAAACCTTCAAGCACTTTCTGTGCTGGCTCTATGTATGCAGATATTTTTGAGGAAATAATATTTTCGAATCTCGCTCTGGACACATTTTGGCTCCAATCTACACCATCTAATAGAGACTCAATGAATACATGTGCTGAATTCAGAGTGGACAGAACATGTTTGCAGTTATCAGCATGCTGCAGAAGTTTAGCCATCGCTCTGCGACTTTCTTGTGGATCCAATTTCCATTTTTGTTTAAATTCCTGAGCTATGTAGTCAGCCAAGTCTTTCGTCAAGCACTGACCACCCAAATCTGAACGGAAAATGTTCTTTTCAATCGTTATAAAACCTCCAGAGACTTTAGCTATTGAAACAGCGCAGGTGGAACCACCCAGTCTGTATACAAGAACATTTAGATCTTCTTCTGTCTCTTCAACATTGTAAGCCAGTAGAGCAGCAGCTGGTTCACTGATAACTTGCAGCACATCAAAACCAGCCAATTCAGCACATTTTACTAGACGGTTACGGCTCTCATTGGTCCAATTTAGTGGTGCAGCTAATACCAACTTCAAATCGTCTTCATTCCTCATAGAATGACTAGCTATGGTGTATAGTTTTGAATATATCTTAGTGGTAATATTATCTGGGTTGGAGTAGAATGTAGTCTCACTTGTTTCAAATTCATATACTAATTTATCGTCGTTTTGGATGCGGCAAGACGATGAGCTCTCAACATAGGCAAGGTCTTCTTCATTGAAATCACAATTCATAAGCCGTTTATTGTGTTTTATAATAGATTTCGAGTTGGGCTGTCCAGATTTAGCGGGAAGGCCTATTTCCCACTCGGAGCCGTTAAGAGCGATTATGGCCGGTGTGACCCTGTCACCTGCATCGTTAGCAATTACGGATGCAGTTCCATTGGTAAAAGAAGCCAGACACGCGGAGCTATTTCCTAAATGGATGCCGTAAGCTACAGACATGTTAATGTTAATATACAAGTTTTACTCAATGCGCGTAATTCGTAACTGTATTGTCAAATCCAAATGTAAAGCAGATTCCGTCACTGACAATTATTATCCTTGAAATTAGTGTGAATTTACAGAAAAATAAAAGATTACACCTGAGGTCGTAGCTGAGGTTATACACAATACACGCACACACAACCACGAAGCTTTGTTTTTACATATTCTTATATATTTTTTAATAAATTTTCACCCATTTATCTGGGTAGGCAAAGGTTTTACCATACAGCCTCTTCATAAATATTCTCTACGTAATTTTAATCTTAGACAATTTAATTTTATTACTTCATTCGTGAATAAAATCTCTGTTTTTATTAAGGCCGTAAGCTCTGTCTTTAAAGCCAAAATTTTGTTCAATAAATAATAAATTCTAGCAAATATTTAGAATATTAAACGATTAATCGGCTGGAAAAATAACATTAAATAACTTAATATGATGGTGAATGTGAAATATTAATTGAATGATGGAAGAAAATGTTAATTGCTGCTTTGACCTCGGACTAACTAATTTATATAAGGACCGTTGTTGTGAACATATTTGATTAAATATTTTGTTTTCTCTATATTATTATGTATTGGCGTAAAAAAAACTACATCCAAAATCATTGCTGCTGTAAGTTCAAAAGATTTGCAAAAGTCAATATTATTTGTTGCATGATTATATTTAGGTTTTATAAATTAATTTATATGCCCATTAGTTTTGTATTTTTTGTTATTAAGCTGTTGCTCGTAGCCAACTCAATATAAAAAAATCAAGTTTAAGAAAAAAAAAATAGCGGGAAGTTTACTTTGTAAAAATATGCTTTACGTTAAAACTCTACATAAAAACATACGTTATAAATATTAAAATAAATCGCGAAAATGAATTCAAATGCTAATGAAGTTAGTGATAAATTTCAACATATTCTGAAAAGTTTATCAAAATGTAAAATTGTAAGTAATAGCCACATATTTTTTCCGAATATTGTATTTTATTGCAGTTTTGGTATTAACACTATATGTCGAACAAACAGGAATTTACAAATGAGAAAGAGGAATGTGAAAATTTACGAGATATTAATTCGAAATTGGAGTTAGAACTCCGTGAAACTAGAGAGCTAGAGAAATCTCATAGATACCACTTGACGACTTCTAGGGAAATGATTGGAAACCTGCAAGAAACCGTATCACAGTTAGTTTACCTGAAACGCTATGTAAGGAAACTTAAAGATGAAATTGCTGCTAAAAATACAATAATTTCGGCAGCAGAAACGGTAAAATGAATAGACACTTAAGTACTTTATTTAAATAACTATACATAGGAAATTACTTACTTTAGCTACTTAATAATTATTTGGTATAGTTACCCATATAATCTTTTATTCTATTGTAAAAGTTGTTTATCTAGATCATCAACCTCTTAATATAATGTAAAATTAATAAGTCACCTTGTACAATTTGGTTATCGAATGGATATAATTAAGCGTTCGGTATAACAAATCTATAGATTAGCTGATATTCTTTTCGCGATTTATTGTTCTGTGATATCAAATGACGTCATGAACAAGTCGTGCGCCTGATGGTAAGCGAAACCCATAATAGTTACAGTGCCACACAAGAATTTTAAATCGCAAAAATCTGAGGGGCACTGCCTTTGCGTCTGTCAACTCTGAAACATAAACTGACTAGTCCCATAATATGCTTGTAGTTTAAAACGGCCCATTCCCTATATTATGGCAGCCCGCCATGCAGATAGGAAACTGCTCACACACTATCCTGCGTATGGCCCACGTATGGGGTCTCGCAGGACGCATTGCAAGGTTGCAGGATGGCTTACACGCTGCGGCTACATTTATAATCCTGCATTACGCGGCGGACGGCAAGGCAGACTCCAATGCAGGATAATGATTGTTCCCTTAAAGGGGCAAACGTAGGCCATATGCAGGTTGGTATGTGAGCAGTCACCTGCCTGCACGGCGGACTGCCATGCAGGTAGTGAATGAGCCGTTTTACAACCCTTACCCTTCAAAACTAAAAGTAGATACCTAATGCGAGCATTGCTGCTTAGCGGCAGAAATAAGAATGATGGCACCTACTTCAAGGAATTCTACTGCTACTAGGATTTCAGGGTGGTCTAATGTATATTTTGCAATTTCTTATCTTATCTTATTTGTAACTTATTTATTTTTATTATAGTTCACTAGCATCATTATACGTAGAGAAAAGTGTGTACACTAAAGCCTTGCTGCATTAGGCTTCAAAACGGATTGAAGGATTCTTATAGGTTACCTACATATCGATGGACAAGTGTCGTAGAGGAGTATTTATAATTTCCTATTTCCGTTACACTATAGGACAAAGAAATGCTAATAAAAAAGCAGGACGACATCGTTAAAGAATTACGTAACACTTTAGAAAATCAAATCGTAGAAATGAGAACCGTGCATGAAAGGAAAAGTAAGTATTCCGCATTTCCTATTTTGTTATACAACCTTTTGTATATTTATCATTCTAACTGTTATACAACAGACTCTTTGTATAGTAATTATACCTACTTTTTAAGAACAGAACGTGTCGGAAATGGATAATTTTTTTATTCTTTTTACTTCAGGTTCCATTTTTTTAACTCTTATATCATGTAAGCTTCTACTTTCATATAAGAATTTTATTTTTGTTACGCGATTACTCCGACAAGAATTGTTAACCGATTTCGAAGATTCCTTTTTTGTTGCAAAAAGGGGTACGTCAGTAGTGGTTCTATTCAAATTTGAAGCAAATACTTCACCTCGACGGGTGACAACTTAGGGCATGAATCCGGTTTATTGGATTTCACCCACTTTCCGTTAAACGATTTCAATAACACTTGGCAAATTAAATGATGTAATTACAAAAAATTTGGACTGGTGTTTTTTTATAAAAAATGATAATTTTTTTAAGAGAATGTAAATCTAGGTAATGAAACTATTTTTGGGAATTTAAATCGCATAATTTTTTTTCAAGCAAACCAACGTTTCGGGCCGTTCATAGGTCCCATGGTCACGGTTGACTCAAAAAAGAAATATCTATACGTGATTTAAATCTGGAAAAATAGTTTTATTTCCTATGCGTAACAATCGAAAACCTAAGAATCAGAATGTAAATCTGTTTTTATTATACATTACGTATTTCCTGTTATACATACATGTACTTGTACTAAAGTAAAAAAAAAAAGATCTATTTAAATCCCTAGAGTAACAATATAATTTGTTATTATATTAGTTATATCTAAAGTAAAGAGTAAATAAATCCATTCCCTTATAAAAATAGCTGTAGGACCATCAGGACGCACCTGGATTGATAATGATAAAGTCAAAGTGACCACTTAGGGGCATTTTAAAGTTTGTTTTTTTTTAAGTTCAAGAAGTGCGGCATGATTCTGATACTCAAATAGCGCAATACACTTGCGTTATTCAAGAGTTAAGAAGCAAAATTAATGACATGGAGACTCAACACAGGGATAAAGTAAGTAAATTCTCTCAGTGCTGGTAATGTAAATTGGTTATGTGCCACCGATTTTGAAGACCTTCGTGGTTGAGTGGCTTCTACACCTGTTTTCATGATGTTGCCATCTTGTATCTTGTTTGTGGTCGTTGTTTCCATTTCCATAACACAAGTGCTTTTATTTATTTATTTATAACGTCGTTAATACATACTCGTACTAACAGTACAAAATTACGATTGATATTTTATTTAATATCCCGGCAGTACGTAAGACCTTATGCCGTGGTAGCCTAATGGTTTAACCTACCGCCTCTCAAGCAGATGCCGTGGATTCGAATCCGGACTCGCACCTGTGAAATTTTTCGGAATTTATGTGCGAAATTTAATTTGAAATTTACCGTGAACTTTCCGGTTAAGGAAAACATCGTGATGAAACCTGCACGTCAAAGAAAGTTCATAACCCTCGGAAAACGTGCGAAGTCCTCAACCCGCATTGGACCAGCGCGCTGCAGCATGGCTGACTATGGCCGAAACCCTCGTCTGAGAGGAGATCCATGCACAGCAGTGGAGCGTATAAATGGGTTGATGATGATGCTGATGATGACCTAAGACCTGCGTAAATTAGGGCCACAATGTGGAACAGTACATGTAATAAGACCGAAAAAGACGGGTGTTTCGCGTCTGCTGTGAGTGTGTCTTTTTCTTTTTTTGTGAGACTACACACGTACTGTATATATAAACATTCATGTATACACATACACACGTGCATAACCGCCTAGCATAGAGGGCTTGTTATGGTATGGTATTGTTATTTATTATGGTTTTATTGCATTTTCATAAAACTATCATTGCTGTTGAGTAGCTTCATTTTAAATAAAATTAATTGTTATACGGCAAACATGCTGAATGATCAAAAAAGTTTATGTAAGTAATTGAAGAATATACTTAAATCGAATTTCAAAAGATGTGCCTATGTAAAGTTTGCAAATAAATAAATAAATCAGTCATGGCAGCCAACGCGAATCGTCGCGTTGGCTACTGCTAAAATAACTACTGGGTATCGACCCAGTAGTTATTTTAGTAGCAGTAGAGCTATTGTGAAAGAGTTTGTCCAGGGTAGTACTGCCACCTTACCTATTTCTGCCGCCATGCTGTAATGTCAGCATTAATGTGTTCCGGTTTTGAAGGGTAAGGGTGCTGGTGAAATTATAGGCACATGGGACTTGTCAACTTATGTCTCATGTCGACTGACGCAGTGGTAGTGCCATCTTTGCAATTTAAAACTTTGAGCAGCACTGTGATTGTTATGGACTTAGCTTACCAGGCGCACGACTTGTTCTTCCCTTCATTTGATGTTATTAAAAAAAAAAAGGAAAACCCACCTCTTTCGTTCCATTCGTTTTATACCTTATTCACAGATGAACGTAGTAGTATTGGAGTACGAAGAGAAGATCCAACGTGGCGTAGCTCTAGTGACCCAGCTGCAGGATCAGTTGGCCAGTCAGGTTGCCCGAACTGACGCTAATATCAATGCTTATAAGCGGGTGAGTCTACACTTTTTACGTTATGTAGTTACGCACTGAGTTAATGACCCTTTCTAACCGATTTAAAAAAAAGGAGGTTCGTAATTCTACAGTATTTTTTGTGCGTATGTTACGGGATTGATCCTGCATTTTCGAACTGATTTCGATGATTCTTTTTTGTTGGAAAGAGTGAACCGCTGTATTGGTTCCATTTAAATTTGAAGAAAAGATTCCACCTCTAAGGGTGGCAAACTAGGAACTAATTTCGCACTTTTTTGTAACCAATTTCAATAAAACTTGTCATATAGATGTAATTCCACGAACTTTTGAGGTCGGTCTTTGTTATAAAAAAATTACAATTACAGCTACCGCAGCTGGCACCTCATCACTCATCTGATTAATTTGTGTTTACATTTTATGTTTTGTTTTTATTGTCAGTTTGTTTATTTATGTTTTGCGTTTATTGAATGTTTTCATTACGTTTTGTTTTCTTCTGTTTTCCTTCGTTTTTTTCTCTTTTGTGGTGTCATTTGTGGTAAGCAAATAGACGTTTGGTTTTCTTCTTTCTGCATATGTAGTATATTTTACGTTATCTGGCTATTCAAAGATATTCAGGTAGTTTAGTTCGAGTCAGAACTGAGATTTTAGAAATTTTTGCATTACTCTATTTTAACTCGTAAGCGTAGTTATCTAACACCCTTAGTAATGAAAAAAACCATGTATTAAAATTAACGTTCATCGCAAAGCTAGACAACATCGTACTTAATTAAACAGCCTACTTACTTTAGTAATAATGATTTAAACTTTAAATTACTATTAACTGTCGATTTATGTATTGATCAAACTTGCTGTACACAAGTTTGTAATTTTCATAGTTATGTAGTTTTGCCGATTTCATGGCGTTAAAGGCCACGAGTTGTTCCTTTCGGAACTTTGATCACGTTCTATCATTGACCTACCACAAATAGGTCAATGCATTCTACTAATTAAATAACCAAGCAGTAATCAGAGTATTACTGCGTTTGAAGGGTAGATAAGGGTGTTTGTGAAATTACAAGCACATGGGACTTATCAACTTATGTCTCAGGGTGACGGGCGCAGTGGCCCTCATATCTTTGTAGTTTAAAAGCTTTAAGTGGCACAACTGCCATTTACCTCCAGGCGCACGATTCGTTTATCCAGTCGCATTAAACATTCAATTATACTTCATTAATATAATATGCAATGTTATATAAATACTTTAGTTAAATGTAATAATTAGATTTACTTGTATTTTTAGTCATTTCGTAGACATTTTTTAATGTGGTGGTTCCCAATTACGCTGCTATATGTCACTCATGCTTTTGAGCGGGAATGAAAAGGTGTCTTCTCATATTGTTGTGAACGGTTGGAGAAATAAAACGGATTCAAATAACTGCTGTGTATTTTCCAGCACTTTTCCCCTGAGTGTAACACCTGGTAATTACATGCCTCATCTAGGAAAATTCTCCTTTTGATAATGACCACCTTCATATAATCATAAAAGATGACAATCGTTACTGGTTCTTACAGCGCGGTACGACTTTTTATTGTTCTCCCCGTACTTAAGAACGATTTCACGCACCATGATCACGATGCGAGTTGTAAGCGGCAGTTGATAGAATTAGAGATATCTACCCCCTTTCGCTGTTGACGACTATGCTCATCTCGGATACATTAAATTCATAACGACAGTCGCGAAGCCTTGAATTTCATTTCACAATGTGGTGATGATTTCACTAACATTCATCATTTGCCTATTAACAAAGGGCTGCGTGTGATCTTGCTAGAAACTTCACAAACGTTTTAAGATAATCAGCACCTGTTACTTATTGTTTAAACCAACATCAGAGATTCCGGCGACATCATTTGAATTAGCTATAATCGTGTTCCCACGTCACGAAAATGAGCGAGCGTACTCCCATTGCCCATTCACCAGGTGTACTTCCCTTAATTGCCTTTCATTAAACGACATACTTTCACTTCTTTCCATTTACAGAGATTGGAGGAATTAGAAGAGAAACTTAAACAGAGTCAATTTAAGCAGTATTTAGCTCAAAGTGCCGCATCGCAGTACGAAAGTCAAGTTGAACGGCCATATTCCGTTCAGAGAGAAAACGCTGGACTTTCTTACGCCGACAGTTGTTCTGTAGACTTAGATCCGGTGCTAGAATTTTCAAAACCGAAGACCTTAACTCAAAACAGGCTTCCAAAAGCACCCAATACTTTGCAAGTAACGTATTATGGCAACAAGACTACAAACGTTCCAAATAATACAGAGAAGAAGGGACAGTTCCACATTACAAAGAAGCGGAAGTTGTATAGCGATAACCTACAAGATTTCTAATTTAATTTACTTAGATAATTAGACAAACATTGTAGCATGGCGCAACATTTAAAGTAGCTAATTTAAACCTTGTTACATGTAGTAAACCCGCTGTAGAAATTCATTTAAGCACGTAATTACAATTATTTTAATTATTAATGCTCTTTTTATTCACTTAACTCTTGTTGAAATTCATTGCTCTAGTTTTCTTTCGTAATCCTTCATATTTCTTTACATGTATATTTACCAAGGTAATTAATTTTCATGACTTTACTAAAACTATACAAAGCTAAAGAATGTGAAAGTACCTACAGCAAACCAACAATAATACAAAAACGTTTGAACATAAAAGCAATTAAACAATAATTCGCAGTTGGTCATATTAATTTAGACCTTATCTAATATCGCATAGTTATAATAAGAATGCAATTATGAAAATATTACTTGACTATTCATAAGTTACATCATATCATGACCTACATATGAGGGACTAAAATATGTAAGTACTCGAATCGTAAATTGCTTCATAATTCGGTGTTTCGTCCAATAGGTACATCAGTTAAACAATATAATAATAGAGGTTTCAAGTCGTCGACGGCAGTGCAAAAATAGACACTATATATAGAACTAGTCGCCTGGAGCAAAGTAAAAAAAAAATTTAAAGTCACAATATCTAGATTTCGGTACCCATTACAATTTTACTAAACATTAATTATTTCTTTGCACTCAATCAAACACTAAAGCTATTTCTTGCTGGTTGACTGCCAAGCTCGTTTTTATTGAAAACTGGTATGTCATTTGTCGCACATTCCTGTGTTGCTGTAATTAACTAGCAGTTACCCAAACCGTCCATCATGATTTAGTACCGCAATTGTTGAATTCCTCGTTGATATACTGTGTTGCGTTTACGCTGCATTTTACTGCTTAAGTACGCAGTGACATTCACTTGTTTATAACAAACAACCAGTCAGATTAGATAGATCGATTGACGTCATTCAAGAGAAAAGCAAACCTGCTTAGATACAACTTAAGACTGGATTGTGAACTGATGTGACACTCGATTTATGTACCTACCTCATATCAAATAAGGTAGTTCAGCCAAGACAGTTTCTTAGATAGTGAAAGCGAACTTATTACGTATCTGCTCTCTATCTAATGAATTATCGAAAGCTAACCGCACTGTGGGTTAATAAATACAAATTACCTACACTTCTGCAGTAGGTAAGCAAAAGATTTGTGATCATGAAAGCGGTTTCCACAGACATCGAGAATTTCAACAATTTAATTAATGACTGAAAACGTAATATAACTTTAGAATATATACACACGAATAATTAAATATAGCTTGGGTCTAACTCTTGCCATCAACGAGGTACAGGTTCAAGAACATGACGCTGACAATGAAAACGGTTGGATGGTCTAAAGTGTCAGGTGACGTGCTCTTGACTGAAAATTTTGAAGAAAAAGTCTATAACATAAGTAACAAATCACCATTTATTATTCTTTGGCCAATATTTAATTATTATTGTTCAATCATAGCACCATTGATCTTTTCTGACTGTGATAATTCTTTACATAGGTATGTACTTATTTCTTTATCGTTTTAATGTAGGGTATAATATATAGTGATATGTCTTTCGTAAACATATCAGATTCTTATGTTGTAGATATTTACATAAATTGTTTGTATCTATGTCGATATATCTATGTAAAGGAATTCACATTCACGATTCTAAGAAAACATTACATATAATATACATTCTTACCTTCATAACATACTTATGCATCAGAAAGATCATTTCTTAATTGCTTTACGAGTTACGGATAAGTCTATCCAGAGAATTCCAGCTGCAAGAGTAATCGATCTGAAGGTGTCCGTACCTGGACAGGTGGAAGTTATCAGGGGCTGTCTTCGGAAATGGTCGAGCCCAGTCCTCATATTCCGGTGACAAACTTTCGTACGCAAAATGTTCGTACGCGTCCGTGAACCTTTGAACAAATATAGCAAAACTGAAATGAAAATAGTATCTATTCTGAATAAAATATATAAAGTAATAATTAAGTGCGTATTACAGAGCTTTCTAACATCTGAATCAAAATTACCTACCTACTAAGTTCTATTTACCTATAACCCCGTAATATTCTAGGAGTGTAATAACTTTGTGTAACCAATGATAAATTAGTTTTGGTGAATTCATATTATACAGTACACCTTACACAATATATGCAACAAAAAGTTTTTAAGGGTTACACACGTAAATATTGCGGAAGAAATGCGCGATGCTCTAATATTAGGCATAACGCTGACAAACTATAGATTAAGAGCAATTAGAAGCCACGACCGAGTTTTGCCATCATCGGACGAATGAGCATCTTAAACAATACCAGCTTGTGCAACTGGGCAAACCATAATTTTTCCGAAGCAATCCATCACGTAATTGCTAACGACTGACAAGTGGATTTTATTTGGAAATGGATAAGACATGAGGCATTTTGAGTACCTTCTAATGTTATAATAATATACCAGACGACTACGCACAATTCCTTATACTATGAGTATGAAAGCAATGAAATTAACTCCGGGGCACTATCCGGATATCTAGGAATTGCACTGGGGACCTCTTCGTCTAGGTGTGGCGGGACGTGATCTCGACCTTCTTAAATCGTATTTGCGTGGTAGGGTACAGAGGGTCGATGTTAACGGTACGAGATCGTCAGGATCTGCAATTAGCATGGGTGTCAAGGTTCAATTCTAGGCTCATTTTTGTTTTTAGTTTATATTAATGACTTACCTAGCCTTATGGAGGGTATGAAACATGAGATAGTATTGTTTGTTGATGATACTTCCTTATTATTTAAAGTTAAAAGGCACCAATGTTCCTACGACGATGTGAACAATGCTATATCTAAAGTAGTTGATTTGTTTGCTGTTAATAACCTACTTCTTAATGAGAAAAAAACAAATTGTGTGAAATTTACATTACCCAATGTTAGAGAGACGGTTACAAACATTGTAGTTAGAAACGAAAAATTGAATCTTGTGTATACAGTTGTATTTCTAGGTATAACGTTAGATGCTAAATTGCAATGGGGTCCCCATATAAGTAAGTTATCAAAACGGCTCGGCTCTGCTGTACGCGATTAAAAAAATAAGGAAACTTTCAGACGTCGAAACCGCTAGATTGGTTTACTTCAGCTACTTTCACAGTGTAATGACATACGGCATTTTGCTTTGGGGTAATGCCGCCGATATCAATAGAATCTTTGTCTTGCAGAAACGTGCAGTTAGGGCAATTTACAATCTGGGCCCCAAAGTATCTTTGAGAGATAAGTTTAAGGAAATTAACATTCTTACACTAGCCTCACAGTACATTTATGAAAATGTAATTTATGTTAAAAGGAATAGTAATTTATTTATGAAAAATAGTGACAGACATAACATTAATACGAGGAATAGAAATAAACTAGCTTTTCTTGATAGTCGTCTTCACAAAGTCAAAAAATCATTTAAGGGGCAATGTATACGCTTCTATAACAAGATTCCGGTTGATATACAAAATTTGCCTTTCACGAGGTTTAAAACTATAGTGAAACAAAAACTTTATACTAAAGGTTCTGCGTACTTGGATGACAAAAATCCGTGGTAGTAACCCGTTTAGCTCATGGAGGTAGTCTCGATCTCTGATGTTTCAAATAAAAAAAAAATATTGTAAATGTTATTTACAAAGAGCAACCCCTAGAGTTTCTTGCTCATTCTTCTCAGGGGCATCTGCCTTACGAATGAGCGGTAGAGTTTAACCATTGTAACGATTTCAGTGTAATAATGCTTACCTATGAAATAAAGATTATTTTGAATTTGAATTTGAATTAGCATCCACAATACTAATCGCTGGGCCACCGAAGTCGTAAGTGCCTATTTCGGCGGGATATTGAAGCTCTTTTAAATAAAGTCTTGCACAGGAACATAGCGAATCGTAACTCGCATATCCACGCATGCATAAAAATGGATTGGGAGGTATGAGCAGACGCAGGTTTGAGCGTTCTCATTCGTACCAATAGGCGATCACAGTGTTGATTAGATAACAATCGAATCAACATACCTAGCACTGTTTCGCGAACATTATGTTATGATATGAAACAGCACATATGTACTTTCTAACTATCCGCTAAATTTACTTTGGCGCTCACGTAATCCGTGACTAGAAAGTGGTCAAGTTACTGGAGCAGTTACCTTTGATCTTGATAACTCCTCATTATTGCTTGTGCTCCAATATCTGACGACCTGACTTCGTGTTAAAATTATCTTTAGTTAGCACTAGTATGCATTCTTAAGAAATCATGTAGCACTGGTTAAAATCGTACTCTTATCTTCAAAGATACAAATCTATGTAAGTTATTTATAGTATTAAGTTATTGACCATAAACAAAATATATACGTATCATATCATAAAGCCTATTTGAGTAGCAGTACAGCTCCTTGTGGAAGAGTTCGTCCAGGGAAGTACTGCCACCATACCTATTTCTGCCGCCAAGCAGTAATGTCATTACTGTGTCCCGGTTTGGAAGGGTAAGGGCGCTGGTGAAATTACAGGCACATGGGACTTGTCAATTCATGTCTCAGGGTGACGGGCGCAGTAGCAGTGCCATTCAGGTCTTTACGATTTATAGCTCTTAGTGGTACTTCCACTGTTATGGATAGGCGTGTAGGTAGCTTACTATCAGGCGCACGACTTATTCGTCCCGTAACTTGATATTATATAAAAAAATCTCCTTTTGTCGTATAAAGCAGAGGCCATGGATAGAGATTATCAGTAGGTATATTAAGTATGTCTACCTATTTCATTTTCAATAGTAGTTTGTGTTTACGATTATATGGTGTAATATATAGGTGCTAAAAGTTAGTAAGTTCGTTTTTTACTTACTTTTTACATTATTATTACTTAATTTTGACACCAGTTACCTAAACGAAAATTTATATAACCACACACAAAGCACTAATCATCGGCTTGCTGTAAATAGGTATCTCATTTCCATATAATTTATTAATACCAGTAGACAAGTTTATAATAACTAGCAAGTTAAGTTTAATGATATGGCCTAGGCAGGCTAGGTTGATAAACGTTGAAGTTGTTTTTATTTTAACTTGATGTATACGCCAAGATGCGGTCATTCACTGGGGTCAATGTTATAAGCAAGTTTCTCTAGAACAAGTACTACTTACGAGCTAGATTCTCACAGGTGCAACTTTCATTTGTAGGAAGCAAAAAGTGGCGCGGGTTCACACGTTACATTGAGGAGGCTTCTTACTGTAATGCTCCTTCACTGGTACATACGATTACTTGCATGTTAGTGGCACTAACTGAGGAGCAACGTTTTTACTATGTTCTCCGTGGAAGTTAGCGTCACTCGCTTGTGCGATGGGAATGAGAACTTGCATTCAAATAATGTAACATAAATGTAAAATAAGTTGTTATTAAAGTTATAGTTTCTTATCAACCTAGAATTGTATTGTTATTTTTGTATTTAATTATGTACCTAAATATTTTTTACCGGTGTACAAAACATAAACGATTCTATTTTAATTATAACGAGAGTGAGTTTTGATCGTGAACAGGTATGGAAATAAGTTATTATTATGGCGTTAATGCTGCGAAAAGAGTTAGAAATCAGTCACAGCTTGTTCTCGCGCAAAGACCATTATTACTCGTCTCATTAGCATAAAACTGCTGCGTGTTTTGTTGTGGTTGCGCCCCCGCACGTTGCCATCTCAGGTGATTCAAGTGTTGTGGTTAATAAGCGTAACGATTGCTTATTTTTGTAATAATTTTTAACGTGTTATAACGGAACAATTTAGATTCTCGGTGTGAAGCGATATGTAATAATTATCATTGTCCATTCTACTTTTTGTTGCAAACTTTCCAGACTGAATTACGAAACAGGTTCATACTGGGCTTATGGAATAAATATAACTTTCTTAGTGTTGTAATTTTAGGTTTTCTGTAAAATAATCTACCTACCTGGAATGTCTTCTGTGCTTGTTGTAGGCTAGAGCAGCCATCATGTACTCTGGATGATGTGGAAGCGACATACGGGACCGTGGTGGTGTCGGCAGGTACCCGGGCGGAGGCGGTATATACCCGTACAGAGGTTCGTACAATACGGGGTGTGGAGCGTACACAGGTTCTTCAATGTACACCGATCTTCTGCGATCTCCTGAAAAGTCGCAATGTGAATTTCGAGTCTTAAGAAGAATGAATCTGAAACTATTATTTGATAATATCTACTCACGCATTGGAGTATCACTATAAACTGTCACATCTGGATGATAGTCCGGAATGATTGCTCTAGATAACTTTCTTCCATAAATAGCATAATCTGGCGCAACGATTGCTTTAGCAGGACTGATTCTTCTTGGTTGCGGTTCTTCCCCAGAGTCATAGTTTTTAGTAGGAACGTAGTAAAAACTGGCACTGACGGGCTCACCAGCGAAGGAATTAAAATTCTCTCCCTGACTGGATTCGGGTGCATCTTGTTGGATAAGCCCATAGGCTTCGTTGTCCCATGGGTCAATATAAACACGGTGATTGAGCCCACTTGGCGGCTGTGCCTCATCACCTTCGCTGTCGAAGTCTACTGCAGCCCAGTAAGGGCTACCTGCCTCGCCTGGCATTATTACAAACACTGAGCTATCACTTCTATAATTTGTGCATTGGAGCAACCACAAAGCCGTATGGCCACATAACCATTACCGCACGTTAGCACGTCCTATCCACTTATGGTATTGGTGTAATGTATAGTTTGGATGTAATTCTAATTGGTATTCTCAACGTGAAGTGCACATATTATATTCTACAAGCGACCGATGCGATGCTGTTATCGCGCAAACTATGGGCCCAAGCGCGAGCGCACCGTGCGGCACCTGTATTCGAATAAACAAAATATGCGCGTGCGTGCTAACCGAGCCGCACCGCTAACACCGCTCGATCGTGAAGATGCCGAGAAATGTTCGCACAGTGGGATTTGATTCACACGCGAACTATGAAAGCGAGTTAGTAATTAAGTAAAAAATAGCTCACGAACAATAGGATTACCTTACATGTCATTACCATTATTTATATACCTACTCATATGTAGTGTTCTTCTATTTAAAAAACTTAATTTACATGTCTACAATCGTTAGGCAGGTATTATATAAATCAATGTATAAGTTACAAACAAACTCACTAGGATTTGATTACACCTATTGATTAATATAATTGCATAAGTTAGTATGGTGATAATAAATGATATTAGAATAATATACTGGCAAAATAAAGTTTAAAATTAAATTAAAATCATTAATATTATTTTAACCAAGTAACTGGCAACTTATCTCGGTATGAAGTAAAAATTTATAGCTGGCAATGTATTATTTGTCACTGTCAAGCTTCGCGCCAGAATTCCACGACACGGACACGGCAAACGCCAACAAAAATGTTTTGTGGAATCGTTTTATAAATACGTTGTTTTCTTCATTATTTCCTGTTAAATCAAGCACAGAACAGGCTTCAGGTATAGCTATCATAATAATGACAACCGTTTAAATGTAAAAACGTGAACTGTTTACATGTTTTCCACTTTTCTACTATAAATGTGAAACAAGTACCGATACTCAATGTAGGTTTGGCGTTATCTTTTTGCTTAAAACAGGTTCTATTTGTGTCTTACTTGTTTTATCTACTTTTTCACGTAGTATGTAGTAATAGTGAATATCAAATATTGATCACCGATGATTATGTTACGTGTGCTTGTATACAGTGAAAATAGGCTTCAAACAATACTGTGTGTCACTACATTAAATGTTGTTCGTGTCTTTGTTGTACTTATTTTGACTTCCTTTCAGAATGGCCTCAGAGGTAAATTTAGAAACAATTCTCGATCAATTAGAGGACATCAACTTTGACTCTTATTCCTCAAGGAGTAAAGGCTATCAGTATATTAAAGATGTCTTTGACGGTAAAGGGAGCATAAAGGTCAATGGTATGGACAGACTCATGGTGATTATTGAAAAGGACCTTAAAAAGAAGGGGACTAGAATAGTCAGTGCGTTGTCGGCATTGACATCTATTGTGGAGAAAGTTAAGGTGAGATTGACCTTCATTACTGCTTATCTATGATATTAGTCAAGGGTGACCAAAGTGAACTTACCACAATCAAATTCAAGACATCCTAAAGAAAGGCCAGATAGAGATATATTAATTAAATCAAAATCAAATCAAAGAATTTATTTCATACTTTGGCCCTATCGTGTTATTTAGAGAAAACTTATAGCCTATGTTAGTAAATAGATTGTCAGAGAAAAAAATAAAATTACATTAGGTTATACACACCAAGCCTCTGGAACCATGTGTGCAGTTCCAGTGCTTAAATGTATCCCAAATCTTATACTCCCAGACCAACCGCATGAGACTGCTGGAACTGTCATGCACATGCTGCATCAGAGAGGCAGTTCTTTCGCATATTATCACACTGAAATTATTAGTATGCACCTCTGCAAACATACCTGATGCACTGCAAAAGTGATGCAGTCCCTACAGCATCCTAAAATCATTCTTGTATTGGACATGCAGGGCGTTGACTGTCTTCTTAGTGTAACTTATCCACAGGCTGACTGTATAAAAAGTTTGGCAAAACGCCTTGAAGAGAGTAATTTTAACTTCCACACTATAACGAGCGAACTTATGGGTCAACATGTTACAACATGTGGCCAAAGCCCTGTGTTCCCTCTCCATATCGTCATCATCGTGGAGGGTTTTAGTGTGCCCAAGGTATTTGAAACGTGCCACCCTTTGGAGAGGAGCGCCACACATATGTACCACGGGGATTGACAAAAGGGTTTTGTTACCTGCCTTAAATACTAATAATTGACTTTTATCTGTGTTATACCTTAGGCCATGGGTCTCTGCATATACCTCACGAATTTTTAAAAGTCTTAGCTAACTAGGGCACAGCAGCACCATATCGTCTGAATAAGTTATATTATTCACTGTATTACTACCTATTGAGCATCCGATACCAGTGCCACTGAGCCCAGGGATCAGCCCATCCATGTACAGAGTGAACAACCTTGGTGAACTAACCCCACCCTGTCTCACACCACACTCCAATCTGTACACGTCTGAGAGCGCATCAGACCAAGTGAGATGGGCAGATCCAGCACTTTAGCCGCTACTGTTGCCATCTATATTGAACCAATCAGAGGCATTCCCTGTTCTATTTTTTGTAATGGGCACAACAATCGTCTTCATTAGACTGTCAGGAAGGTAGTAATAGGTAATGCACAGAATAAGTGGAGTGTTGCAGTCTCTACTTACCTTAATTTTAAATGGGGTGTATTATGTATGGTCCATAATTTTTAAAAATAGGAGATGCAATAAAATAAATAAGTTTCTATCTATCCATTTATATAGTTGTTCACAGTGGAATTTGAAGATATATGGTTATAATGTAACTGTAGGTACTAATAATAATAATAAATAAATAATTAATTTATTCATCTAAGGTCCACTTGTTAGTAAATACAGACAATTTCTGCCGTTCACTAATTAAAACGCAAAGTGACAAATGGTCAAAATACCGTTTAAAATAGCAAAAAACCGAGCACAAAATTCTCTTTTAAAAACAGTTAAAATTAATTAAGGTGTTCGACTTATCGGAACTTACCCTAATGACGCGTAGCTGAAATATCATTAAACAATTTCAGCAGGTCTTCTAAAACTTGGTTATGGTTGTTTGTGATATATCAAAAATTGATTTTGTCACTTAGCCACATTTTAGTTAGCGGATGGCAGATTTTAACTTACTATTATTGGTAAAAATTACATTGAATTTTCCTGAAATAAAATTAAGTAATTGAGTTTAAGGCTTTGTTTGAAATAGATGTAATTTACTATAAACATCTTAACAAGCTCAGTTCATCAACAGTGTGTGCTATCCATGTTCATTCCATAACTACCTGGATATTCGTTTTCAGAAGGGAGAATGTATGCCACAGCCAGATTTGTTGCCATCAGCTGTAGCAATACTAAATGTACTTGAGGACATGGCTGACATAAACATTGTAGAAGCAGTAAAACAATTATTGTTCAATACTTTGTCCTGTTATCCAGACAGTGTGTTGCTTCAAGCATATATGTCATGCTGTGGCTTGGTGAAAGGTGTTGTCCTTAATTATGCTTTTATGATACCTAATGGACAGCACAAGGAAACGGTAAGTAAGATATTTTAAACGTATGCTTGCACATTCTTATTATTATTCATTTAATTTTAAAGTCATTTAGTAACGTAAAATAAGATTAATATATCGCACATGAAACCAAAAACTGTCCTAACTCAAGATTGTGTAATTGAGAAATCACAATTTGAAGATTAAAAAAAATATTGAATGGATCGTATTGGGAATAATGTTTAGTGGAGGTTCTCAATTCGACAGAATTTTTATTTTTTGCATGTATGTTATGCAATAACTCTGACAGCATTCATTAACCGATTTTGTTGATTCTTTTTTTTTGGAAAGAGCATAGCTCAGTATTGGTCCCACTTTTTGGTAACCGATTCCAATAAAAATTAAGTAATTTGTCGAACTTTGAAGGTAGTTTTTTTAAATAAAAAGTTACAATTATAAATATTATTTTCCGCAATACCTGCCTGAAAATTAAGAACGTGCCGAGGACACCGCATGAGAATAAGAATGACTTGGTTAAAATGGTTGTAAACCTGTCTAAGAAAATTTAATACGAAATTAACATATCTGAAATCAAAGATATCTTCCGAGTACAGGGAAAGCGAGACGGTAATAAGCATATATATAATAATAATTGTGGAGACTGGCTCAACTATAATTAAGACTAACGTATTGAAAGCGTCTAAATCCTACATCAGAAATAAAGAAAAACTACGGGTCAAGGTTTTGGGCTTCACCTCAGAGGAGGAGACGCCGATTTTTGTTTCTGAACAACTAACAGTGAATGGTGCTCGTCTTTACTTTTTGGCTAGGGAGCTCTATAAAACCCAACAATATAAATTCTGCTGGACCTCCTTTGGCAAAGTCTACGTGAGAAAATACGAGAACTCTCTGGTAGTGCTCATAAATAATGAGTCACAGATTACGCAGCTGATGCACAAAATTTGACTAATCTTCATAGTGTACTTATTTTTTAAATTACTGTTAATGAAATCTATAGATAGTGCTATTTCATTGGAACTATTTTACCTCTGAGATAACAATCCTGAAGTACATCACTTTCATTACTCACATTATACACATTATTCGCACTTTATTACACTTCTCCTTTCACTCACACACCCAAGCACTTCTTTTCAAATTCTTTCGAACGTAATCACTCGTACTCACTTACACATAATGTTATATTTACACTCACGCGTGGAATTTATTATATCTATATATTTACATACCTCCCTTCCGTTTTCAATTACTAAACTTATAATATTTATTGTTTGTAATTTCTTATCGTGTTTCTTACTAGTAAATAAAATAGATAATTATGAATAATACGCCTTTACAAAGTTTACAAAATTTAGACGACGCCGAAATCGCAGTCTGTTTAATGCTCTATTGAATATTGTATAAATAAAACTATAAATACTAATACTTTTAAAACACATATTATAACTCAGAATATTAGGAGCATTTGCTCCAATTTTGTCGACTTTGGAACCACTTTATCGCAGTTTAAATTATATAGACCTACTTATTTTCACAGAGTGTCGAATTAATCTTATGAAACAATTACCATTATTACAAAATTACACTTCTTACCATACTACCGACTCACTAAACCAAAATGACGGAGTAGTTTATATTAAAAATGAATCCTCAATTTCACAATTTAGTGTTACAACAGTAACTTGAACCTAAAAAAATTACCCGAACACGAACTATTTATACCTTAAACATATACTTTTATTGGCCATTTTCCACTTACATTACAGGCAGTGCTATTGTTCATCAGATTGCTAAAAATATTGCTACCAGAAGAAAAAAAAAAATTTGTTGGAGATCACATAGATCTTTGGTTTTTTAAAATGATTCCGATGACTGTTGAATTAGCGATAAGGGAAGGACCTCATGTGAATGCTTACATTGAGGCTGCTGAAATGCTGACCGAGGTGCTGGTAGATTTTGAATATGAGAACAATGCAGCTTGGCATTCATTGTTTGTCTGTATTTACACTCCAAATAAGTAAGTTTACAACAAGAAATGTTTATAAAAATTAAGTGTGTAATAACCGTGGCATAATCACACCATCATAATATCACGATGATAGTTATTTATCATCATAATTTGCTTTTTAAAAAAAATTTGAGCATTATTTTTAATTATTTACTTCATATACTTAAGGTTATTTAAAATTTTCAGATATCCAGCAGTACTAAAAAAAATGATAGAAAAATCACAAGAAGGCTGGTGCAGATTATGGATTATGTTTGTGAGACTGCTAAAAGACAACATCACAAGACAAAAGCATGAAGGTGGCAGTCCAATCAATGCTCTACTACCAGTGTTGGAATGTGCATTTAAAATGAGAACCGAAGATAGATGTAGAGCATTTAAATGCTGGAATGTGTTAATAAGCAGTTTCTCAAAAGAACAAAATGACTATCAAGTGAAGAAGAGAGTAAGACTTCTTATGATTCCTTTGAAATCCAACAATGCAAAGTCGGAATGCACAGCTGTAGCAAAACTTAATACTTGGTGGCATTTAATAAAAAGTTTTGAGGACAGACTGGACAAATTCATTGATCTGATTGTATTACCATTCCTACACTTATGCTATGGCAAACATGATGCAAACATTGTTGCAACATCATTATTTTCAATGATTCGGTTTCCTGGTGCTGTTGTCAAGAAGCAATGTGTACAAATGTTTGTTGAAATGACTGGACATGTGAATTGCGAGGGATGTGCTAAAGTCCCTCGGCTTACAAAGAGAATAATAAGCTTAAAGCTGTTAATTGATTATTGGAATGACTGGGTGCATTCCTTGTCTACTGCAATCAAGATGGCTGGTGAGGTCAATGATCATGCTATGAAACAATGTGTATCATGTATGTGGAAGAATTTTCTTCTTATTATCTGTGAGCTGCCTCCTAACAATATTAGGAAAGATTTGTTTAATGAATTACTGAATATTATTGAACAGTTATCAAAGGTAGGTGCTTTTTGTATACATTGCGTACCTTACTGTTGAATAAGCATCAAAGTAGACTTTTTAATGTTTCAGGAGGATTCTACCAATAATGGATTTGCTGACATAACAATAAGTGTCCTAATACAATCATTATTTGAAGAAGATAACATTAAGGAACTTCTTCAAACTAAAGATACTACCACATGTCCACTACATAAAATATTCTCAATAATACTGCATCCATGTTTGAATGATTATTACACAAGGTATAACTATATTATAAATGTTCAGTCATTTTCATATAGTAATTTCCCAAAACTCTAAATCAAAAATGTGTATGTTTCAACTGTTTTTCTCTCAGTCCACAATACGTTTTGTGCATCTTATGTTTATATCTCGTGCATTTGTCGTATAGAAATGTGACTGCACTATTATACAACACATTGCATGTTTCACACAAATACATCCTGTTGTAATAACTACTATCCACAACGCAGTCAAATGAAAATGTGTGAATATGATATTATTTAGCTTTGGGGAAACCTTGTAGTAATATAGTCTTGGAATCACCAAGAAAAGGGTAAGATTTTGAGACATGTTATAATTTAATGCCAAAATACAAATGTAAAGTAAGTAACAAAAACATTGCAGAGAGTAATTGAAATTACATGGATATTTCGCCTTGTCGTCGAGTTGCGGATACCAGCCCGTTGCACCAAGTACATGGATATTTCTAATATTCTAATTTCAGGAAAACTTTCAAAGAAATAGTTGGTCTATTCAAACCAATAACAAACTTCATAGTGATCGAATCTAAATGCCCCTGTCCTCCTAGCATATTGGGCTGGAATGTAAAAGATATGATACCAAATGATAATACTATCATGCTTTGGACAGCATTGGTAGATTCTATATGTGAATTAGACAATGGAAGCACTAGAAGATTTAATTTGAGCAATTTATTACTGTGGCCTATGAGGAACATGTCATTGTTTAACAATGTAAGTATTATATTATCTCGTTGATTTAGTATTTTAATTGTTTTCGATACTATGTGCAACTAACATATGCCTACAAACTTTTTACATAATCACATTTAAACAAAAGCATACTATTTAATGCTTCTTAATCGTCCTTTGAATACAAATCTTTACAAATTTTATTCCTAAGTTCAATGATATTTTGTAAACACCATCTAGAAGCTAACATCTAGAGTCATTGTGGCAGTTTCCCATTAAATTGATTAATGTTTTCCAAGACTAAGGCTGCTAACAGATTGACTGCATATTTGCAGTTAATGCGTTAAGTCGTTATCAACTTCACGCAGTCGTGGTCTCGGCTTGTTCGTCCCGTCACTTGATATTATAAAAAAAACTTCACGCATTAACTGCAAACATGCAATCAATCTATTGCCAATCTTAATCATTACTATGAATTATGAAAAATCGAACCGCCAGGTAATGTGAAAACCTGACATGTGTCAAGATTTTATGTAAAGCGTTTTAAAGTTATTGTTAATTATTTTGTTATTCAATGCAATAATTTATAGTATATACTATATACAGGGCATCTCACGGCTACATTTACACATTATGGTTCCTAGATACACTATTTTATTTTTAAAACGAAGTAATACTGCATTCAAACACTTTTAGAAACATACTTGCTTCATCTGGGAATCAAAACAACATGTGAAAAAAAAAATGTTGTATACATTCAATGATGCAGATCGAAAGGGTCAATTATACTATTTCCTTATAACTAATATAATATTTTAATTTAAAGGAACATCGTTCATTTATACAATTTGTTAAATTTATTAAAAAAGAAAGAAACTTGAAACTTCCAAGTAATTATCTAGGCTCGTACATAATTTTCAGGCAAGGGCAGAGTTCGCGTGGTATACATGGCACACATTATACGAGTTAATGCGTATGAAAGTAAACGGACCTTGCATTGACGGTGAGCTACTCAACATATTGTCTGTACATCATGACACTACGGAGGCGCCTATATACTTTCAGTTGATTGCAGCCTTGGCTTTGTTGAAACAAAACTTGGTAAATGCGAATGGTGAGTAAAATATAATAAAAATAAATATGTGACAACTGTGTAAAATATTATGTGACAAAATTTATTATTTAACTGGCATTTGAACAGTTATTTTCGTTGGTGTCTGAATACACTAGGTTTACGTTATTTTATTATGTCAATGAATACAGTTTCCAACAAAAAGAAGATTTGTTGCAAATAAAACCTCAGAATAAAAGCTACAGATGATTATAAAAAGGCATGACATCTGATTCTATCAAGTAGGCTAAGCTAAGGACTCCACCCAAGACCCGCTCATTGTAATCTTGGTGATAGCAGACTGATCTACTGATCACTGTAAGGCCGATGAGACATTATTGATGTTGTTTAAGCGAAATTATCACATTTTTGTGTTATTATATTTATTATTAAAGATCTTTTTGCGTTCCTTGTTGTTGTAAGTATTTTTGAAATTATTTTATTATTATTCAAATTATTTTATTATTATTAATGTGATAATATCGTTATCATTAGCAAATTGGATTTGAGGGTTATTTTTAAGTCTGAATAAGCCCTCATTTTCTATTTGTACAGATTTCTTTCTTTGTGGCAACTTGGGTTTAGCTTGTTACTTTGATATATATTTGATGTGTCTTTAGTAATATGATGTTACTTTTATTGTGAAGGTTCAATTCAGAATTTGTATTGTTGGAATACTAATTACTTAATTTATATGCTTTTCTTCCAGATTTAGGATACGAAAAACCAGCAGATGTAGTGATTAAGATAATAGACAATGAGTATAATTTACAGTATGTTGAAAAGATGATACCAGTTATTGTTGACGTACTTGATCTTTGTGTGAGCAAAGTGACTGAGACTGAAGATGTTGTTCTTGCGAAGTTCGGAGTAACGGCTTTGAAAGTTTTGTTAAGGTCATTGATGAAATTGTTGAAGTTGCATAAATATAACGTAAGTTAATCATATTATTTATATCTGGTGTAAATATTTGATACAGAAATCACCAATTTACTTACCGAAACTGATTTCGTACTTATAATTGAAGTTTACGTTTATTGTTTTAGGCACATAACATGACTCTCTTCGAAAGTTTGCTTAGAAAAGTTGACACAATATTACAAGTGAATGCTTACTTTTCTCTGAAGGACATTATATTTGACCAACTACTAGAATTACACAAAGTGCCTTCTGTCAAGGACACTGTAAGCACCCATTTAAAAACATTGTTGAACATATGTGAACAAAATGAACCAGAATATATGAAAATCCTAACAACCGTTTATCCTGATGCAAATGATTTGGAAACAAACAATGATTTAAAACCAGTAAAACAAGAGGTTCCTGTTCCAAATGTGTCTGAAAACGATTACTTGAAACCAATCAAAAATGTCGATCCTGTTTCAGACGTGTCTTATAAAGATGATTTGAAACAAATCCAGCAAGAGAGTAACACGTGTAATTTTACTGCTCCCCCTGCTACTAATGCTAAAAAGTTGAGAAGAAAAGAGCCTAATATAGTAAACACAGTAATGGAGAATGGTGAAGAGTATGTTGTTGTAAAATCAAATTGGAAGTTCAATCCCAAAAAACTGACAGAAAACCAGAAAGAAAAGTTAAAAAAGAAAAGAGAAGATATCCCAGCATTATACCAAGATCTCTCTCAATCACAAGATGAATTTAAAATTACTGCATGGAAAGTAGATTCTCAGGATTCGTCAACCACTGGCAGTAAATCTGCTGACAAATCGGCGAGTGAAGATGTTTCTTCGATTCTTAAAAACATGCCTAGTTCTGAGGTAGTGCCTAAAATTATGGGTACTATATTGTTAGACACAGCAAAAGAGACAGTTGAGAAAAAAGAAGTTTGCAATGATGGCTCTCCAAAACAAGCACCAGCAGTCAAAGTACCTAAAACTCCTCGATTAGCCTTAAAAGACAGAGTTTTTAGAAATGTAAGAACTTTGATGGAGAAATCTGGGTTACGAAATGAAAACGAAACATATATCGAGCTAAACAAAACAATCAGCGAGATTAATGAAGCTCCCGATCCTAAAACCAATGTTAGTGCTAGTTTAGTCAATTCTGCTTCATCAAAAATACATTCCGCAAGACCGTCACGGGTTATCAAAAAACCTAAGAAGTTCGAAGATTCAAAGGTATTTGCCTTAAAAAAACGACGACGTTCTGAAGCTGACTCCCAATCTAGTACACCAGAATCGTCCAGATTACAAGAAGGACAATTAAACCATATAGAAAATACCAATGATAATGAAATCTGGCCTATACTCCCTACGACATCAAACGAGAAAGAAAGGATTTCAGTTGAAAAGCTATTAGAATCTGACACTACAGAAAATGCACCTTTGAATGCTATTGAGACAATATCAATTTCAGAAAAAAGTAAACAAATCGAACAAACAATTGACAAGAGTGACGATAAAATAGATTTAGACAGTAGCATACCAGAAATTGACACAACCATTCCGCAAGAGGATCAAGTTAAAGATCAAGATGAAGTTAAAGTTGATAATAGACAGAAAATTGTGACTCCTAAATCTGCCACAAAAGCAAAAGTAGATCAATCTTCCGTTAAAAAGAAAAGGTCTCGTATAGAAAAACAATTAATGATTGACATGGTCGAAGGCCATCCTTTATTACAGGCACGTGAAGAGCGTTTTACTAGAAATAAAATGTCTAGCCCTGCAAAAATTATTAAAAGAAAAAGTTTAGCTGAGAAAATAAACAGAGTCGGCTTTAAAAGTGTCTTAAAAACTGAGAGGAAAACAAAGGAGAAAATAAAATCTCCTACTTCTACTACAGAACCTTTAACGACTTCTTTGATAGTTGTTGAATCGCAAGACAGGTTATCTGGATCTTTGGACGATGTGCCAGCCTCAGAAGATGTAATTGAAAGTTCTCAAGATTCCAGTATGACTACAATATCTGTTAAGTCTGCTAAGAATAATGCGAAGAAAGTACCTGTTGTTATGTTAAACAAATTAAAAGAAATGAAAAGTTTATTAAATAGTCCGGAAACGCAAAGATTACTTAATGATCCTAATAATCAAATTGTATCTTTAAGTGATATGACACCACTTCAACCTAAAAGTATAATTGTTTCATCTCCGATTAATAATATTCCTGCTGTAAAAATGGATCAGTCAAAGGTTAACATTGAGTGCAGACAAACATGTGCTACTCGGAAAAGACTTGACGATTTCAGTAATGATATAATGCCGCTCAATGATTCCATAACCTCACGACATGAAACTGAAGATATTTCATTACCTAAAAATAAAACTATGCTTGAAGAAAATACTGAATTAGAATTAACAGAAGATATGGTTACCCAACCATTCGACGACAAAGAGGGATCTAGTAACGTCATTATCAGTAATGATGATCTGCCTATTGTGATTGGATACTCTGAAGAATTGCCTCCTGTTGGTCCAGAAACCCAAGATATTGCCGAAGCTGATACTGAACCGATTAATCTAGATACCACACAGAATAATGAAATTGACACAGAAATGGAAGACGAAATGTTAAAACGTGATAAAGAAAAAGTAGCTGTGATGACTGTAAGAGACGCACCCACAATCTTTGAAGCAGCTGAGGCACCTTTGAAAAATATCGTTGAGCCCGACAATGCGTGTTCACCGTTAAAAGACGCAACTCAAAAAAAGAAAGATTTCTTAAATGATACAATTGAAATATCGCCCATTAAGACCTTAAGCCCCGTTAGAGAGGAAAAATCACCTTCACCGGAAAAGAACGCCAATTACGTAGTAATAAAATTAACTTCTCCAGTACAAAGTAATGGTGAACCTTTTAATGAGAAGTCCGATTCTCCCGAGATCTTTACGGAAGAAAAAGTTTCACTTGATAATCGAGATCAGTCTCCGCCCAGAATCGAAGTTCCTGTTACAAACACTAGCCCTAGCTCTTCATTATCTTTGAAAAAGAACAAAATCCAAATGCGGCCGAGTGGAAGAGCAGCACAAATGTTGGGCTTATGTGCTCCTGACAAACTGAAAACTATTATGAATGCTGATAAATTCGTAGAAACCGAAGAATCGAAGAAAAGTAGCAGTTCAATGAGTACACCAGTAAGAAGAAATTTGAGAATATTGTACAATAGTGTTGGTGATAGCGACTGCCACGTAGATAACGACAATCAAGTCAGTGAAGGCGAACAGGAAGATAACGATAATTTTTTGAAGTTTAAAAGGATGATACCTTCCGCTAGTAGCAGTCCAGCTGGTCCCATTCTTAAACGGAAGCTGGTTGACATCGCCGACGAAACTACTGTTTCACCAGCAAGTAAGGTAATTACTTGTCAACTTTTTACTATAGCTGAGCATTTTGTGTTGCAGTAAAGTGATCTGTTTTTAATTTTCAGCGTAAAAGAGTCAGTTTTCACGATCCTCCAGTGTCAACCACGGTTTCTATTCAAAAATACATTGAGCCTTTGGGTACAAGATCGCCACAAAGATCAACGCTGAAACAACTGCGCGCACATAATCACTTAAAATCGCCGAAAAGGCTTGATAACGTTTTTAAATTAGACACTGTTCTGACAAAAACTATTGAAAGTTTCAGTGAAGATACAAATATGATTAGTGACGATACGGAAATGAGTTCGATAGAGCAAACACCAGCGGTGGAAGTAATTAAAACTAGCGAACTGAATGACACAGACCCAATTTGTCCTGACCTTTTTGAGTGCAAAGATTCTATCGTAGAAATTGCTGCACAATTATCTTCACCCGCTATGAAAGATTTGCTTATCAAAGAGTTGGAAGGCAAAGTTGAAACTATTGCAGATTTGGCGAAGATGACAGAACTAGAAGTGAATAGATTATGTATTAAAGCGCCTAAAGTTGAAGTAGTAACGAAAGTACTTACAGATTACTTTATAAAGAAGGTTCTACCAGATACATTGACAAAGAAAACAGAGCAATTATCTGAAAAGAATACTATGGAGCAAGAAGAATCAAGCAAAAGGGCAATTGCTCTTGCAGTTGACGTTCAGGTGGTCCCAGAACAAAATCAGACAGTGAACGTTGAAGTACAGACCAATCAGTTAGTTACTTACGACATGGCTTCGCAAACAGACGTGGTTTCAGTACCCGTAGTCAGATTGACTCATACACAAACTGACATAACTCCAGTATTAGAAACAAGCATTCAGACTATAGAATCGGGATTTAAATCTACGAAAGATGTCATCGCTTCGTGTTTGGCAGAGGTAGTTTTTTAAATGTACAACAATGGTGTCCTATGTTTCGTACGAGATATATTTTGTAAACGACTTCAAGAAAGGAGGTTCCCAATAATTTTTTTCTTTTTTTGTTTGATAGAGGATACCTCAGTATTGATCCCATTTAAATTTGAAAAAAAAAAAATATTCCACCTCCGAGAGTGGCTAACTAGGGGAACAGATTTCAATAAAACTTGGCAAATTGATGTAATTCCCCGAACTTTTGAAGTCGGTTTTTTTTTATGAAAAAGTTACAATTATACCTTATTAAATTTTAATATTGCATAATAATCATATATTATATTGTAAGTCCCAAATTTTAAATTCTCTAATTCTCTTATTTTTCAGAGGTCGGATTTCGTGGAGGAACTAGCAAAGCAATTGGAACAGTCGTCTGTCCGACAAATCGCTGGGAACTTGCCGACGAATGTTATGATGGACTTACTTACGAAAAAAATTACTGAATGTAACACAACTTTATTGTCATTTGTACAGAACCAATTGTTCGAAAGGTTTGACTCAAATGACTTGATATTATTCTGTAGTCAGCTGTTACAGAAATTACACGATAAGTCCACTATGTAGCGAATAGTATAGTATAGACAAGCATTGTGTCTATTATTTTACACTTTGTAATGCTTTTGAACTGATTCATATTTACTGAATTGATATTTTTCATTTGTTTAGTTACTTGGTATGATTAAAACTTATCATATTTGTAGGATAGTACAAAAGATTATTGAAGGATACATAAATATTTGTGTAGTTTCTTTTTAAAAGTGCTAAGAACAATATTGTTTCTTTTAGTTACAATTTGTTAATGTGAGGTTTTCAGTATTTGAAATGAAAAAAAAAACACGTTTTAGTTTTATCAAAACTAATTTATTTGCTATAAAATAAAACAAGTCAAATATTTACATTATTCAGTCATTGATTAGTGACCTCTAGTTCACAGAGTAGGTATACAGCCAGTTTAATATGCCTACAGTAACGAGATGCAATCTATTATAAAGGACTGAATTTCGGTATAAGTGACCTACTAGAGGCCATAAACTCGTACAAATCCTGTAAAAATACGCGTTTATATAATTTTGTTGCGAAAACAACAGATGCAATGGTGAACTAAATATTCGAAAGTAGAGTAAAATCTATAAATTTTCTTTAATACTGATGCAAGCAAGCGATTTTGAAACGGTATATATACAAATGGCAACAAGATATTATCACAACTAATATTTACAGTATTTTATCTAGACACAGGTAACTTTAAAGCTTTACTAGTATGTAAAACAGAAACTAAAATTATTTTAAATACAAATTTATGTACACAGGTTAATAGATACGAACCCACACCCCCCAAGTTTATATCACTCTATCACGCAACATCTTATAAGATTTATGTTGACAAATAACAAGGAATACCTCAGTGATGGGTTATTTTTGTTTTAGAAAAAGACCCAACATTATTAAGATATTCTCTCTTAACTTGTCTAACAAAAAGAATAATATCTACATTTTAACACGCAAAAAAGCGCTACGACGCGAGTTGCGGAAACCAGCCCGTTACACCATACCATAACACTATATTTTTATTAAAAGAGCATCTCTCATAGCGAGTAGAACTGACTGAAATTAGCGTAAATTTAGGAACTAGTTATACACTTTTTAAAATAAATTATGCATTATATTAACTTGATTTTGCATTTATCGAGAAACTAGGAGTTTAATGATTATCGCGCTTACGGAAGCCTGGTTTAACAAAACATTCCAAACACACTTACGCTACCTAACTATAAAAATAATGCATGATCATAATCCCATTAGTTAAAAGTCCATCTTTGTAACATTACCACTTTTCTGCAAGAGGCTGGTTTAAAAATTAAAACCAATTTTGCACCCAAAATTGGTGCAAAATTTAAGTTGAATTAAAGTTATTTTTAAACTACAGTCCTTGTTAATGCTCCCTCTAGAACCTCAGGATTTTACTTTTCTACGAAGGCATTATGATACTTTGGTCCATTTGAGCACATGATTTATGATACTAATTTTTAATTCCTTTGAAAGGTTGAAGAGTCATTGTCAGGGAAACCGCATTTCTGCGACATAATCTAAATGTTCGAGATTATGGTGAGAATTCGATCGTCGTGGCGGTCGTGGTCTGTGTAGGTTATGGTGTGAGTGTGCTCGCATTACGCGATAGGTGCCTTCCCGTCGTGGACTTGTATCACTACTTTTACGCGGGCTCACCCAGTCATCATCTCGTGATCCTCCTGGTGGTTTTCTATGATTGTCAAAAGTACGACGATTGTCTTCATATCGTTGTCTCGACCAGCCCCGATCCATTTCATGTCCATAAAGGTCTAGCTCTCCTGACGGTTGAAACTGGCTGCTACTCTGACAATAGCTGGATCTCTTCCATCCATCCTCATATTTCTTCCTTCCATTTTCATCATCTCCCATTTGTCGTCGTTGTGACTGATTTGAACTACTTTCGCTTGTGTCTTCACCTGATGTGCCAATTCCTAAATCTTTATCATCACCATAGATTTTGTAAACTCCATTTGGATTTATATTCTTTCCGTTGTATGTCTGGTCGTTCAATACTAATTGCGGATGTGGTATACAATATGGATGTGGATAACATTTATCAATTTTAGACATTTTGAAGTCTTCTTGGTTTCTTGTGCACGAACCCGGCCCAAAGAGTGATAAAAGGACGGGCAAAAGGAATAGACCATGCATTGCTCCGAAAAATATCACCATAAACACCATTTTGAAGAAAACAGAGAATATGTAACTGTCTGCTAGAAGTAATGCTACTACACCAAGAATAGTACTGAAAGATCCTTGGCAGATTGGCAGACCTAGCGAATATAGACATTCGCTAACTCTCTCGTTCGGTGTTTTTGCTTTTGAAGCCATGTAAGCGTAGCAAATATGGGCAGTGAAGTCGACTGAGAAACCAATACACATTATTAAGTTGATCATGGAAATCGAGTCTAGGTTGATGTCCCAAAGAGCCATATAGCCAACCACGCCGATTTCGATAGATATGATACTGAAGGCCACCCACAACGAGCATAAAATATTAGGAATGAAGATAAAGGACGTGATCATCATCATGATGGCTCCGTAGCAGAGATTTTGGATCGATGTTGGTTTTACGAGCTCGAACTGGAAAAAACATCAAATATTTTCTCATTAAATTGAATATTTTCTCATGATCTCTGAATCTGTAAAGTTGTAGGTTTCGTGATAATTAAAACAATTAGAATTACCTGATCGAAAAATACGAAGTAAGGATGAAATACGGAGGCATTAAGTGGCGATTCCGCTACAACTTGGCGCAGAGCTTTGACCATTTCTTTTTCATGGTTAGTGCCGCTAATATTGATTGCTTGGATCAAGAATCTGGACGCAATAATTTGATCACCTGCATCGTTGAACTTAACGTCCAGTGAGAATGGATTTGATGGGAACAGCCACAACTTGAAACAATAAACGTCGTATGAGAATTTTATTGTAAATATATTGTGATAAAAGCTGAAATAAAAAATTTCGTATCTAGATGCCTACCTCTTTTAGATTTTTAATAAAGTCAATTTCGTTGTCAATTGTTACGTTTAAATAGTCGTTGTTTCTCTGTACGTATTGGACAAATGTTCGTAGCCACGACTCCGTATACAATGAGTTCGAAATGTAAGACGTATTTTCCAGCCTTTGCGTTAGTAATTCGACTTCATCTTGTATTTTTGGATCGGAATAGTTGTATTCGCCGCTTATTACTACCTGAAATCGATGAGTGATTATTAGTTAATGTTGAATATCGTCCGTAGGGAAAGAACATTTTCATCTCTGTATCGATGTTTATGCCGTATAATTCACCTGGATTCTGTAAGGGAATTCTCTGTAATACAGGTCTTCGCGATCGAAGAACTCAACAGAATATGAATCCACTTTAGAGAGCTTCCTCCTTTCTAATCCTTCTTTAATGTTAGTGACCCCGTAACTAGCTCCAGCCAAGTACGCTAAAAACACGACTATGACCAGAGTCTTCACGAAGTTATTGTTTAAGATGTCTGCCATGGTGTGACGGAAGAAACCCATGATGCAATGTTCCTTGTTGTCTATTGGGTTGTCTGGATCAGCTTGATCAATTCCTCCACTGCAGAATATCCGGTACAACCAAGATTTTTCTTCTGGAATAACATTTAAAAAATGTTAACTAATGGTATTTTGTAGCGACGGCATTAATTTCAAAATAATTAACGAACACACACACTCAACATAGCTCCGCAATAGGGAAACCCTGTGTCGCTGGTGCCATGGACACACACATAGACAACCACAAATTACACCCAACTCCGAGATAAATAAATGTAAGCCATACAAATATTTCTCCCGGCCCGGGAATCGAACCTGAGACCTCTCGTGTGGCAGTCCGGCATGGTAACTATTCGGCCACAGAGGCAGTTTAATTGAATGAATTGATTGTTATATAGCTACTATTGTGGAAACTTTATATAAGTAAATTCTTAAGTATTTTATCTGCAATCGATTTTAGTATTACTGTAAATTAACACTTGCAGAAATTATTTAATAAAATTCAATTCTACAAATACTACACGCATATTTCAAAAGAATAATTTTTACCTTTCCTCGCTCGAGATTCGGGCAAGACTTTAAGCCATGTTATCGTATGGCGGTTCTGTTTTTCACGGTAGCCGGACACAGCTACACAACCAGCGAAGAATGTCAGATGCCAGACAAACGTGAAGCACACGGCGAGACCTGTGAATATAATATAATAAATCTTGTAAATAATATTGTTTTTAACACAGACAATACGTGTGGTAGTGACATTAAATTTAGAACATCTGAGGCAAATTCAAGTGAACATAGACAATTTCCCAATCTAGAAAAACTGATCTCAACTTTTTTTATAAAATTTTGATCAAATTACCTGAATACATGCAGAAGATTTGTACCGAAGGGAATGGCGAGAATATACCGATAAAGAAAGACAACATATCAGTAACAGAAGTAATGGTGATTGATACGGCAGCTTCGGACAACATGATGGCCATTCTTTCTGGAACAGGTAGTTTGGGCGGAGTCCTTCGCCACGCAGCTAACATTACGAACGTGTCATCGATACCGATTCCTGTAATAGAATGGAGATTACTCTGTAACTAAGATAACTGCGTTCCGGTTTGGTAGGGTAAGGGTGCTGACGTAATTACAGGCACATGGGACTTGTCTACTTAAGTCTCAGGATGACGGGCGCAGTGGCATAGCCCCTAAGCTGCAACTGTTATGGACAGGCGCGCCGCTTACCACCAGGCGCACGACTTATTGGTCTCGTCACTTGGTATTATAAAAAAAGCTAACTTAAAAAAATCTGACAGTTGAAGTTCAAAATGTAAAAAACCTCTTGCATCATTATAAAAACTAAATCGTTATAAAAACTAATAGTGTTCACAACTCACCAATCATCAAAAACGGAGCAGCCAAATTGATTCCAATGAAGGAGATGCCCAAATAAATAGCGCAACCGAACGCAGCAGCGGTGGCCATAACTGCAGAAATGTTTCCTAAAAGACCTAACCAGGGCTTCGAACGAACCCAGTCTGCCATCATACATGTTACAATAGAAAATATCCCCATTAGAACGAATGTTGAACTAAAGAAGGGTATGACGGTTCTGGTGTTTTTCTCTAATTCGTGGTCGAGGGTTCTTGAGGCAAACCGCGCAATGGAAATGTGTTTGAAGCGACCTGTATCTTCTGCTATTCCGACTTCGTCCAGAAAAGCGTCTTCCCATGCTGCACCTCTGTAAATGAAATGAAAAAAAAAATCTGGTGAATATTCATAATTTATTTCGATGATGTTGAAAATGATATTCTGTCATAGTCATCTATTCTTGTTCCTCAAAATTCCACTTTTTGGTTTCCACTTCCAACTGATTGTCGAGGGCATTATCTCAGCCTCCTGGCCTACAATTACCGTACCTGTCGAATACAATCTTTCCGTCGCTCTCTGGGACTATTACGCAGTGCTTAGTATTCGAAACTGTTTACTAAACCGTGTCAAGATCGATGTCTATTATCTAAGTAAAGTCACTTGTTTACGAGAGCAGTGGCTATTGAAATTCAATGAGTGTCATAAAAAACAGAAACGGCAACATGTATAATGAATCGTCTGCAGCAATCCTAAGTTTCCCTTTAAATTATGATCGTCTACAATAATGGTTTCCTCAAGTTGCATGTAGACTGAGCCCCTGTTGTTATACTGATATTCCATGCGGATATCCTACGTCTATTAAGAGGTATTGTTATTAATATATGTTGATCCAGTGCATAGATATGAATAATATGATAATGATAATTTGATGTGCTTATTCAATTAAGACAAATCTAAAGGTCATAAGATATAATGATTGTTTTACTCAAAATAGTACAGACGTTAGGCGGCAACGCGGTTAGTGTTATGTCTACTTTATGGTTGCTTTCCGCAAAGATTTACTTAGTGGTTTCTTACCGTTGTTCCTGCAGTTTTGTATCGGTTCTGACGAACCATATTAGCTGGACAGCCGGTACAGAGACAACCATGTCATCGACCACCTTGGCACCTCCGAAGAAAACTGGAAACGCATGCGCCTCCCAGGTGACAGGGTTGAACATGATTGGGAAGGTCAAGTTCAGTTCGCCGCGCTCGACCTATGGGAAATAACAATATTGCAAATAAAATTATCCTCAATCCGCTTTGGGCCACCGTGGTCTATGATTTAAACCTCCGACCTATGATAACTCCTAAGAAACGTAGCAGTACGGCTTATATGTGTGTACTCTCGCCGCGTGTCGTAACTTGATATTACATTCGCATAATAATGAAAGGCGCGTGAGACGACCGCTAAGCGACGCGAGTGCATCGCGAGATTATACGAACGTGTGCGTCTGTACACGGTCCGTGCGGCGGGCGCGCACACACAAATCGCGCTGGTAAGTTTGTATGGATTTACCACACTTGTCTCATTATAGGTACTATGTCTAAACCCTCTCCTTGGAGGAAACTCTTGCCTGCAGTAAGACGCATGCATGCGTATGAATTGACGAAATAGCATTATGGAATCATAAAATAAACTATTCACTAACTGTTTATTGGGTTGTATAGTACTAAAATTGGACTGACTTTCGTGTGTTCAGTCAGCTAAATTGTGTGTAGGTACCGACATCAATATTTACTAGTTAATCATTATAAACGTACAGACTCATTAACCTATGAATAGGATATGTGAGACGGAATTGAACTGCGTAATTAGTACTTAACTATTCGCATGCGACAAGTAATATATGTCTATAGTAAATGAAAGTCCGTTATACCTATAGTTAGATATATTTAATTACGAGTTTTCTGATGTTGAGCATATAAGTAGAAATATGATTTCTTAGTGCTAACACTGAGCATGGGTATTTTTATAGTACCTATTTATTAAATAATGTATCGTATTTATTTTTTATGTCTGACTAAAGAGAGAGAAGAATTGCAGTTGCCTTATTTTTCTTATTGGTACTAGTTTGTCACATCTATATGCATACTACCTAAACGTTATGAATTTTTTTTAAACTCTTCATAGTTTCATTACAATCGTGGCATGTTTTAATTGCAATAATCGTAAAGTTGCGGTATGCGGCTTGAAAGTGAGTAATAAAGTACACAAAAGTACCCATTGTTAATAGGTAGGTACGTGAATCATTTCTTGGCTCTCGATTCCGTAAAGGATGTTTCATTCAATTCACCATCGCCGAACGTGAAGGAACTTGGTAATAACTTTGTAAAAGTGTTATTTTGGTATATCCACAATTGCGGGTTAAATACGTGCGCTATGTTATTTCGACAGTATTTTTAAAATATATCTTTAATCGAAAGATATGAATGATAATTATACCGGTTACAAAGCAGTATCATCTCACCTAGACTGGACACAGGAACTTTTTACTTTACTGCTACTGTATTTGAGACTTGTATAGACATACCTATTTCTGCCGCCAAGCAGTAATGTCAGCATTACTGCGTTCCGGTTTTGAAGGGTAAGGGCGCTGGTTAAATTTCAGGCACATGGGACTTGACAACTTATGTCAGTAGTATGTGTGTAGGGTAGGTGTCGGGCTCAGTGGCAGTGCCCCTTAGATCTTTTTTATTTAATGCTCTGAGTGGCACTGCAACTGTTAGGGACAGGCGTGTCGCTTACCACCAGGATCACGACTTGTTCGTCCCTTCACTTGGTATTATATAACATAAAAAAGCACTGGTACTGACCTTGCTGATGCATCGGATTTTACTTATTTTAATTATATGGTTATGTAATTATAAATTTAATTATATAAAACAGGACAAACCAGTGCGAGACAACCGCTCGCAAGAAAACAACTTGACATCCAATTCACAATATTAATTTTGCATTTTAATTTGCATTGTCAGGCTTTCTGAGAGAAAGTAAGAACGAAAGTAGAATGAAGTATAAATATGTACCTGGCATTAGGTACTTCACGGCAGAATAGTGAAGATCGGTGTTTCTCAGCAGCTTTTATTTTCTTGGTTCGTGAAATTTTATTTGAGAATCACTTTTGAACTTGAACTTTAGTCTCTGTTTGCACGTGATCAACATTCGCTAATTATTTAAATCATTCATTGCTTATACAGACAGTGAACGTGTGATTAATTTCAACATATAGCTGTTAACTAATTAACCTATATCAATTGCGTTGCATTGTTGACATGTGTTCGTGTTTTCTACTTTCCCTGTTTAGTTTCTGACCATTTTATATGTATTTAGTCGTTAAGATTAGGTATAGAACAAATATTAGTCCAAAATGCTCTCATATGCGGCGTAGTCACCATGAATTCGACTGATGATTAAGTTTATTTTACGTTTCTATTTTTTAATGTAGTTATTTATGTTTTACTACCATGATATTCCATTAATTTTGTGAAATTACTACACTAGTTTGTTATAATTATTAATACAAAGATGAACATAAATAAAAATCCCCTCGATCCGGTTGAACCAGCGACCTCGCCATCGTGTCTGACGCTCACCCTACTGAGCTACGAAACGAACCAGCAGACCTTACGAATAAATTAGTAATTTTCAAAATTCTACATACCTCCCCAATAATCTTGTCTAAATTAAGTATATCATTGACGAAGCACTGCCCTTCCCATCGTGCGCATTCTTCGCGGTAAGTAAACTTCTCTCCGGTAGGCAAGGTAACCGTGATGTTCTGCACCAACTCATCCAACTGTCGTAATTCCTTCCATATTTCTGTACGTAGGATGTTTGTGTTGTTATCCTTTGCCACTATTATCACGCGCCCGAATCTCCCTGAAAGAAAGAAAAATATTTTTTGTAAAGATTTAAAATTCGAATCTGCCTACTGCAGAAAGAAAGGCACAAACAACAAATTCGAAATTCCGAGAATTCTTTTTTTTGGATTATCAATGAGATTTAGAAAATCCTAGGTTTTTTTAGAGTTAAAATATATTTTTGATATTAAGAAGGTAGTTGTGGCTAAGAATGGTATTTCATGCGAGGAAGAGCTTCTTTCGTGCACCCCCTACTTTCGTGTTATTTTGTGAGTCGATATCGACAAGACTCAAGATATAATTCCGAGGGCCTTCTACTTCTAGACTTCTACTTTAGAAGGGACGTTGGCGGGCCGGATTAGAGCCTTTCGTGCGCTGGAGTTGCCCCGCGGGCCGTACTTTGCCCAACACTGATTTAGAGCACTAGTGAATAAGGATTTTGGAGGTATCAACAATGCGAGAGGTCAAATATTTTCATACCGAATTTCCCGGTCAGTAGGTAATAAACCCAGTTTCTAAATAAATAATATGAAGGAGGACCTATATGTTCTATACTATCGATAGAACGTATTATAAGGTAAATAGATAGATTTCATCAAAACCCTTACCAGCTCTCGTAATCCTGCCGACATTAAACCTGTGTGAGTAGTTAACTTTGAAATAATCTTCCACTATTCTCCGTTCGTGTTTCCCCTGTCCACTAACAGGTGAAAACAGGTATTCTGGGTCCATTTCATAGTGGACTCTCTGGTAGCCAGTTATCATTAGTAAACTCAGCAGGATTGGTATGATTATGAAATAGCCGGGTTGCTTGCCGACTATTAAGCCAAGTTTGTAAAACGATTTGTTTAGAGCGTCGTCGACGAAGGTTAGTTTGCAGCCCATCTGTAATCAAAAAAAGAGTGTTAGATTTTTAGTGTGTCATTTCCATTTTTAAATATTACTACTTATGTAAAGTTCATTTTATGATTTGATTAGTACTACAGTATGTGAATGAATAAATTTAGGTTCACTTTTCGTGGACGCGTTTGCGTTTAATTTTTATCATAATTTGTATGGGAATTAGAACAGCATCTCTTACGGTGAGTGGCAAAAACAAAAACAGCGAGTGTACAGAATATTTCGGCCTCAATACATAGGTACTGAATAGCATTCGTTCTATATTAAAGTACTTACTCTATATTAAAGTACTATGTTAAGCAAAGTGCCAGTTGTTTATATCATCAATAATTACTTGACTAAATAATGCTCATCATCTTTAGTGTTAAATTGATATTTCACATGAAGTCCTTGAATAGGCAATCAAGAATGGTGTTTTATTTAGATGTAAGTACAAGTTTTCGCCTAATGTGTTATACGCTTCAATAAATTTTAACACTTCGTAAATATTTGCCAATGAAGTCACGAATTCGTATTTTGTTTCTAAGACTATTGAGAAGTGGGATTGTTCAAATAAATCACAAACACGTAAATGCGTGTGTACACACACTATATATACTTACACTTATAAAAATGTTTGTATAAAATTATGATAATTGCTTAATTTAGGGCACGAAATAATAATAATAATAATAATAAGTTCATCGTACCTTGCTGTAGGTACCTTTTTATTGGAACTCACGTATGAGTTATTACAAATATTTAAATAGACGGATAGGTAAAAGTTGCTGTTATATGTTAGGTTTTCTAAAACAGCTTTTTAAAAGTAAGTTTAAGTTTTTAAAGTTTTGCCTTATATGCCAGTTTACCTTATTGCCACTGGTAACACCAGTTAACAAATAATTGTCCTCGGAGTTCTTTTACTACAATCCGTCAAGGTACAATTCGCTAAAATCGTGTGCTTTCCGACCTTTTCGTTGCAAGAAATGTTCACAAATTCAAACACATGTAGGTAATATGTGTAGCGTTTTTACATTTTCGTGATTGTTACACTTTACTTGTTACATAATGGGAGTACGCCCTAGGGATGAAGGGCGCAGTGGGAGATTTTTGCGATTTAAAGCTCTGAGTGGCTGCAACTGTTATGGACAAGCGTGTCGCGATCGCTAGGCGCACGACCATAAAAAAATGTACTATTGTAAGATACGAAGTTTGTACTCATGTAACGAATATTTACTGCGTTTAAAGAATTCACAATTAGAACCCTTTCATTATTTCATGTATACCGTAATTTCAACAGTCACGCTTTGTAAATATGTAGTTATGTTATCGCTTCCATAAGAGCTTGTAACTTGGCCCCGTTTCGAAATATCTGTTTGGGACTGGTTCTAGTGGGTTTTCACGAAAAGAAACTAAATGCTGTGTCTACATTCGACTGAAGTCTCACCTGCGGTTTTCTTCGAGCAGGTAACATAAATGACAAACCAGATGGAAATATGTAGGTTAAATTGCAATGATTAACTTATGACAGCACTAACGTTAAGTGTTGCATTATCACTTTAAATGCAAACGACTCATGACGTATATACAAACCTTCGCAATAGATATTTAGCTATTATAATATTTTTGCAGTTGATTAGATTACTTAGCGTTTATAACAACATTTACATTATAATAATAACAACGCAACTACGAGCTATGAGCCCCGCAATAGGGAAACCCAGTGATGCGGGTGCCATGGATACCATAGAACACTCCAAATTACACCCAAACTCACGAGAGAAATAAATGTAGGTCATAGAAATATTTCACCCGACCCCGCAATTAAACCCGGGACCTCTGTGTGGCAGACTAGCATGGTAACTGTTCGGCTACGGAAGCAGTTATTATTATGTTATTATAGTATAAGAAATTAAGGTGTCCTCTTCGCCTTTAAACTCGGCTCTTAGCTCTCCATTAAGTGTTCACTATGCGCAGATCAATTAAAAACGATGTTATATGCCAGTAATTCGAGGATACCAACACATTTAATAATAAATTGATTTTAAGAATTTGAAGTGCGTATAAGTAATGATACGTATGACTGATAGTTTGCCTGTATGCCAAGTCATTTTATACACTCACGTACGTAACTAGGTATATAGATAATACGTATGTGTAAACTATAAAAGTTATTTAACGTTGACGTATGAAAAGTAACACCAAAGTTCATCTACCTTTATTGTTTGAGGAACAATAATGAAACAGTCTTGATCTTGGAATTAACATTGTAACTATTCGACAAATTAAGCTTGTTAACTCAGCCTGCAGATGCCGTTGAAGATGAACCATCTCTATCTGACTTTTTAATTCCTACCACTTTGTTACACCAAGTAGCTTATCTAACTTTTATCAGAATGACAATAAAACAATCTGGATTTGCTGTATCGCGGTCTTATTAGCAAAAAGCGTGTTAAATTGGCAGCCACAGAGGCCAACTTGGTCCGTTTTCTTTGTTTTTAATTGCAACATAGTCGTTGATTCGCTCTTTGAAAATATGTTGTTTATCGCTTAAACTACCATTTGCATGATTTTATTTATCGATTAGAACTATGCCGACTTTGGTGGTAAAACAGCTATTAATTACCAAACGGGTGGTTTTGTTATGTTTAGTTATGTTGCAACCACGGCTTTTTAACTAGTCCTAACTAAAATATTTTTACTCCAGCAGCCCAAACTACTCTTCAACAAAGGGAACCAAACACTGAGCAGATAAATACAAAATATCGATTAAAACAGATAGACCCGTAGTTAGTGAGTGCGTTATTTACCGTTCAGCTACTGTAATAATATTATATATTATATATAATACGAAATATTAAAATCCCTACAACTTAGATATTTTGCAATATTTCGACCTCATCACTTAGAACATCTTTTGTATTAGATGTCATAACGTAAAAGACAGTTCTACGAAGAAATAATATTACGAAACCATTGACGTACAAAGTGACTCAAGCTGTAATATATACAGTTGAAATTGCATATGTATATAAAGTGTATGATTTATATAATAATAAATAATAATTAATTAATTAATAATATAATATAATAATTTATAATTAATAATTTTCGGGAAATCGGGATGTATTCCGAATTTCGAGATGTGGACTTCATGTTGTAACTTTCTCGAGCCTTACAGTCTACCCTTAAATACAGCCACTGTTGGTCAAATTGCAATTACAGCTTCAGCTAGTTAGTGAAATTGCATAATTTCCGTAACGATAACTATTAATCATCTAATTTAGACCTGCAGATGATTAATAGTTGTAGCTTTTGTTGGTTGCGACATTTGATATTATTAAAAAAAAAACAAAAAAAGAAGATGGAATATTGTTAGTTTAACATGTAGGTAGGTACGACTTGAAAATTTTATAATAAAACATCATGTTCATAAACAAACATCACATGTTGTAAATGTGGTATCGTATAATTAATTAAGTTCAGTGTACAATAGAGAAACTTAAGACGCTGCGTCGTGTCCAACGCTCTTACAAACGGAAGAGAAAAACACGAACACTATATTATGCACTATGTTATGGAACGTACCACCTGCCTTACCTCAGACTGGCTGCGCTATGGCGCCAGTTCGAAAAGAGGTATTTAGTACTCAATAGAAGAATAAAGCTAGCGGACCAGATGGAATTCCAGCGGTAGTCCTACGTAACTGTGCGCCTGAGTTGTCTCCTGTTCTCACACGCCTGTATCGCCTCTCACTTGAGACTGTTGTAGTTCCCAGGTTGTGGAAGCTTGCAAACGTGCAACCTGTGCCCAAAAAGGGAAGCAGAGCTGACCCTGTCAACTATAGACCTAACTCAGTCACTTCCATCTACAAGACTATGGAGCGTGTACTCAACAACCGTCTCCTGTCATACCTTGAAGACGACGAGGGCGATCTACCGGGGATCTTCTTGTGTATGCCTGTCACATATGGCGCGAGGCTATAGAAAAACAAGGCGAAGCACCTGCAGTGTCTTTGGACATTAAATATTAAGTAATATTAGTACCTTTGCGTATGCTGATGACAGCACAGTTGTGGATACGTACTTGACATATGCAAGGGTCAGTGGAGAGGAAATCCAGTCTTGTCGAGAGTCCATGGTTAGCCGTTTAGATTTGATGCTCAAGGCAGTCTCCGATTGGGGCGATGCCAATCTTGCCAAATTTAATGCTACCAAAACGCAGGCGTGTCTATTCTCCACTAAACGGAGTCCCTTTGAACTGACTCCGACTTTTCGTGATATATCCATACCGATAGCCGACCGTCTTCAGCTACTTGGAATGGATTTGTCGTGCAATCTGAAGTTCGGCAGATACATTGAATCCATGGCCAAAAATGCAGCCAGGAAGCTTGGCATCCTTTCCAGGGCTTTGCCTTTTGCCTTTGCCTGCTTATCGGTATGTTACAGGATATATCACGGAGAGCGTGCGATGGAAGTACACGATTTAATTCCGCCTTCCCCTTTCCATCATCGGGGGACTAGGCGTAGGCTTGGCTTCCACCCCTATGTTGTGAATATTCCCAAGATTCGCACGAAGCGTTACACTTCCACATTTATATGGCGAACGGCTATGGGGTGGAATTCTCTGCCTGTGGACTTGTTCCCTGAACGTTATAACTTGGACCTTTTCAAGACGAGAGTGAATAGGTATTATCTAGGTGTGCATGCTCCATCGTCGACCTCATCCTCACCTTCCATCAGGTGAGAAAGAGGCCAAATGCACACTTACATTAGAATTTTAAAAATGTGTAATATTTGACTTTTGAGTTTACCAATTTAAGTTACTAAAATAAATATAGAAGGCAAATCGCTTAATTTCTGTTTAGTTCGCGATAATTCTACGCTTCGCATGTGGAATGCGCAGACCTCCTTGACCGCTCGTGCGTTTCCTTTCACTAAGTACGCAAACTTCATGAAATAAATGTGAAATTAATCCACCAAGGATGATTAGTTTGTTTAGTTACC